CTCCCGTTCAAAACCGCGACCTCGAATTCCGGAAGACGGAGAGGGTCAAAAAATCGCACCTCGGGGGTATAAAGGCTCGTTCGTCCGCTGGTTAAGGGAGAGCAGGTGGCTCAGTGGCAAGTGTAGCGGCTCTTAATCCAGGGCCGACGATCTCGAGCCGGTTCGGATCCGGATGCGAAAATTTTTTTTTCTTTTTTTCTTTATTTGGTCGTTGTCAAATTTCCCCATCCCAAAGAAAAGAATTTTTCGAAACAACGGCCGGCTGTTCAATCTGACTGATCTAATCCATCTCCGTGCGTGCCAGGATCGCAGAATTTCTTTGCAATTTCCGGAATTGCACTCACCAATCATTGCCAATTCGTGTCTAATCAATCAGTCAAAATATTTTTGCAACTTTTTTTCCATTTTTTTTGCTTTCTGAACACCACGTGCCCTGTAAAAAGCCGAAAGCCAAACGGATTTTTCTTCGTTTTTCGGCTTCTCACTTTGGGAAAGCTCAGTGATCGGTCAACGCCAATTTTTTTTTCTTTTTCCGACTTTGCGTCAATTCCCGACGATTTCTCTGGACAAACATTTACAAATTGTTGAAAATTCTTTGTTCTGGAACGCACATGACTTGTTGAAGCTGTTGCGTGGTCGGATTTGATGACTTGAGCAACTCCAATGCTCGAGTTGCTCTCAAGTTCAAATTTCAATCCAAATTTCCTATATTTTATTGCCTCAACAGCTTAAAAAGACTCAGCTAAACCGAAAATCTTTTCATTTTTCCATTTTATGCAATCATTTGCCTACTGCAACAAAAATGGCGGCCTCGAAACGGTCCAATCTCCCGGAACCACTCCAGAAATTTGTTTGCCCCCGCTTTCAGGCGGATATTTTGCGATTCCGAAAAAATTGGGCAATTATTCGGGCGTCCTGGATGTCATTGCAAAATATTTTGATAAAACAAATGAGATTTTCGACAAATTCTTGAAGGCACTTTTTTGATTTCTTGTCCTCGGAATCTTTCATCTTTGAATGCATTACTCTGAAGAATTTCTTAATTTTCGTCAATCCTGGATGTCATTGCAAAATATTTTGATAAAACAAATGAGATTTTCGACAAATTCATGAAGGCACTTTTTGGATTTCCTGACCCTGGGAATCTTTCACATTTGAATGCACTAATTTCAAGAATTTTTTAATTTTTGTTAATTCTGGATGTCAGTGCAGAATATTTTGACAAAACAAATGAGATTTTCGACAAATTCATGAAGGCACTTTTTGGATTTCTTGTTCCTCGGAATCTTTCATCTTTGAATGCATTTACCTCAAGAATTTCTTAATTTTCGTTAATCCTGGATGTCATTCTTGGTTTATCAAATAAAATCTATGCTGGTTTTTTGCAAATTCATCACAAAGTACGGGCAGCGGGGGAGAGGGTGAAATAAACCGTTGTAAAAAGCCTCCCTTTTGACTGACCACTTCCGATAAGCGGCAAGCACGTCCAAATCGATTCGGAAAGTGACGACTGCCTTCCAGGATCGCCAAAAAAATTGTTTTCGCTTAAAAATCTTGTCTGATGGTCATTTTTTGGACTTCGTCTCCGTCAACCCAAATTTACGTTTCTAAACTTTTCACTTTTGCAGTCTGAATCGCTTCCAAAGCACAGAATGCCTCCCAGGATTGGCAAAATATTTCTCTTTTGGCTTTGTTTTCATTCTCTTACTGCCTAAAACGATTCAATTCTTTTTCCGTAAGAAAAATCTCGGAAAAAAAAGAAGAAATTTCCCGAATAGTATTTTAGAAATTGAGAAAAACCAAATATTCGGTTGGCCAAGAAGTAGTGGGTCACGTCAAAGAAAGGACATTTTGTCTTAAAGTTTTAGTGGGCCCTCAGTGTTTACTATTAAAAGAGACAACAAACTTCTTCTATTAGGTTGATGCAAAAGTCTTTTTCATTTTTTTCGTACTTCCGTTAAAAAGTAACAAATGCACCAATTGAACAACGGTTTATTGCATTCGAAAGGCCAATTATTTTTCTGCAAAATGACATTAAAACGAGTTTGAAATGTCTTATGTCTAGATTTTTTTGCGAGCCTGAAGTCGGGTAGTCAAAAAAGGCGACGGCTCGATGATGCATTTTAGACGCTTTAGCTAAGGAAACCAATCTTGATGTTAATAAATAAAAGATAGAGCACAAAAAGTTGGATATTTTTTCAGATTTTCAGAGAAATTGATTCAGCCAATTTCTTTATAGAGGTTTTTATAGATTTTTATGAAAAACCCCCGTTTTCACTCTCGAATTTGCTTGAAAGTGAACCCAAATTGACTTAAAAAGATGGGAAATTCAACAATAAACACTTTTCATTTAGAGCAAACCATAGGTTAATTGATGACTTTGTTATTTTTCAAAAGAAGCACGAAAAAAATGAAAAAGACTTTTGCATCAACCTAATATTTCAAAACACTTTCATTGATTGAGCATGCTTCCTTATCTCTTTAAGCATGCTTCCTTATCCCTTATCTTTATTCCTTATCCTTATCTCTTTATGAACTGCTTCTAGCTTCTGGAAATTTCGACGAGAAATCAAGCTCAACCCTTCAGCGGCTGCAATTCGCCGGTTTTCGCCGTCTCCTCACCGTACTTTTGCTTCCTTATCTCTTTACTAACTTCTTTTGTCGATCGGTGCAAATTTGCCAAATCGGCATATTCAGCATCTTATGCTAAGGTCGATAAGTGATCATCTTCAAGTCTAGCTCCAGGCCACATAACAAAAGTAACTACTTCTTTTGTCGGTCATGATTCCCTCTTCAAGACTACATGTGATCGATGATTTGACAAGTTTAAAAATGGAGACAAATCTTTGATCGAAAGCCCCGGCAAAACGTCTGAGGTTGTTATTGGGAGTGATTGGATGTGATGTGATCGGACTAGAGTGTGTTCCTTGCAGACAACGCGTTTTCTAAAAAGCGCGCGCCAAGGATAAGCTACCGTAACCCTATGCTTTGCATCAGCAAATTTTTCAAAATACAAATGTACATTAAAATCTTGCGCTCTTTTTTTCTATTACTCTTTCCTTAACTCTATTACTCTCCCCTTAACTCTATTACTCTTTCCTGAACTCTATTACTCTTTCCTGAACTCTATTACTCTTTCCTGAACTCTATTACTCTTTCCTTAACTCTATTACTCTTTCCTTAACTCTATTACTCTTTCCTTAACTCTATTACTCTTTCCTTAACTCTATTACTCTTTCCTTAACTCTATTACTCTTTCCTTAACTCTATTACTCTTTCCTGAACTCTATTACTCTTTCCTTAACTCTATTACTCTTTCCTTAACTCTATTACTCTTTCCTTAACTCTATTACTCTTTCCTTAACTCTATTACTCTTTCCTTAACTCTATTACTCTTTCCTTAACTCTATTACTCTCCCCTTAACTCTATTACTCTTTCCTTAACTCTACTACTCTTTCCTTAACTCTACTACTCTTTCCTTAACTCTATTACTCTTTCCTTAACTCTATTACTCTTTCCTTAACTCTATTACTCTTTCCTTAACTCTATTACTCTTTCCTTAACTCTATTACTCTTTCCTTAACTCTATTACTCTTTCCTTAACTCTATTACTCTTTCCTTAACTCTATTACTCTTTCCTTAACTCTATTACTCTTTCCTTAACTCTATTACTCTCCCCTTAACTCTATTACTCTTTCCTTAACTCTACTACTCTTTCCTTAACTCTACTACTCTTTCCTTAACTCTATTACTCTTCCCTGAACTCTATTACTCTTTCGCTAAAACTTAAAATTTTTTAAATGCTATGTAAAATTAAAGAAAACATTTAAAACGGGAAAAGTTAAGAAACACTATTAAAAAATGATATTATTTACGAATTTACCAGGCCTATTGTCTACATTTGCACTAGAACCATTCCAAAAAAAATTGCACGCCCTAAAAAACCTAAATCCTTAAATAAAACTATCCATTACTACATTTTAAGAAAAGTTTGCAAAATTTTTTTTCGCGCGACCTTTATGGCTTTGCTTAAAAAGCGCACCTTTTAGAAAACGCGTTGTCGGAAATTTGTCGGATCAATTGTCTGACAAAAAAGTTGTCAATGAAAATTTGTCTGACAAATTGTCTGTCAACAAGGAGTCCAGATCACACTCTAGATCGGACTGATAAATGACTTCGACAATTTTAAATATTAATCGAAACTCACGAACCACTGATAAACTTTAACTTTAAACTACTGATATCACATTTTGTACTTGTAGTGCGTCAACCCAAATATCCATTTCTGAACTTTTAACTTTTGCAGTCCCAATCGCTTCCAAAGCACTGAGTGCCTCCCAGGATTGGCAAAATATTTCTCTTTTGGTTTTGTTTTCATCCTTTTACAGCCTAAAACGATTCAATTCTTTTTCCGTAAGAAAAAACTCGGAACGCGCCCAAAATTGAATTCGAAAAGCCAGGGATTTCAAAGAAAAAAATGAAAGCGGCTTAATTTTTTGCGTTTTTCTTGCAGTTTTTCAACCAAAATGTTGCGTTTTCTGAAAAAAATAGAAATAAAATTCGAAATTTTGTAATTTTTATGATCCATTTCTTCATTTTCCTCAAATTTTTTGAGCAAATCAAATTCTGAATTTATTTTGACAATTTTACTGAGCTTCCTCCCTAAATTTTGCCTTTATCGGCTAAGCTGGATGTCATTTTTGCTTTTACAGTCTCGCTGTGCCCTGGCAGTTCTTTTCTGGGGTACTAGTCCGAGTCGGTTTGAGTCCAACTAATTTCCTCGGCTATCCGGCATCCTTTTCGCTTAATTCCAATTTTAATATACAATCTGGATGTCATTCTTGACTTTGCAGGGTAAATTTCCACTCCAACAGTTTTTTTTACTTAAGTCGTCCTCCAAACTGATCAAGTTCTTTTTCAGGCCTTACCGTCAACTTTGTCGCTCGATTTTTTTCTCCTTTTCTAAACTGGATGTCACTCTCGTATTTTATCATTTCAGATGCCTGACAATGAGCCAAAAGACGAGCGCGAGCGGCGGGCATCGAAAGTCGACGAGACAGAGACGAAGCTAGAAGCGGCTGGGATCGTGAAGCCGCCGGATGGTCCGTGAATTTCGATTTATATGTAAAATTGTCATTTATCTAACTGGAGCTTTAAAACTGCCATTTAGCTTATAAGTTGTAAGTTTTTAGCCTTCTGAATGGGTAACTTTTCGAAATAATCGCTTTCCTCTGAAATTTCGTAGTCCCGATTGAGCTAGTCCAAAAATTTTGAAACCATTTCTCCATCTGGAACGCACACTAGCCATTTAGCTTATAAGTTGTAAGTTTTTAGCCTTCTGAATGGGTAGCTTTTCGAAATAATCGCTTTCCTTTGAAATTTTGTAGTCCCAATTGAGCTAGGACAAAAATTTTGAAGCCATTTCTCCATCTGGAGCGCACACTAGCCAATTTGCATACTTACTTTAGTAGTTTTCAATTTTATCGGTCCAGCAGGCCTGGGTCTAGCTCTGACCTCGACCTCTCCTCGGCCTGACCTGCCTGCCCAGTCTCTTCTTTATTTACTCCTTCCCGCTCTACACTACTTAAAGCTACTAATCCCCATATTTATTTATCCATTTCTCACAAATAACACGCAAAAACACCAGCTACTTCTTGTTTTCCCATCAATTTTCTGAGCCATTTTCGGGGCCAGTCTAACAGTCTGACAGTCTGACATTATTACAAAAATTTCGATGCCATTGCTCAAGCTGGAGCACAGCACGAGCAAAACTGGGTTTAAACGATAGAAAATGGAAATTTCAAAAAAATTTCGTTTAGGTGGTTATGGATGGGTCGTGGTGGCGGCGTCATTTATCGCAAACATGATCGTTGACGGTGAGTGATTGTGCAGTGCCATCCAGGATTCCAAAAAAACGACTCGATTTCCCCGTATCTTAAAAATAAACGGCATTTCCAGGGATCATCTTCACCGTCGGCGAGTCGTGTCTGAAGCTGTGGAAGGCGGACTTTGCGAGCTCGGACACGGCGGCCGCTTTCACCACCTCACTGCTCTCGGGCAGCTATTTGCTCGTCGGTGAGTCGTAAATGGCTTTTAAATGCAAATTTTGAGAATTTACTGTCGAGAAATCGGCAATTTTGAGAGTTTTACTGCCGATTACTAGCACTTCCTAAAGTGTAGACTTTTGTTCTAAAGATGCCGCTGTTTCAAGTGAACCTGTTAGTCTGTTCAGACCAGATCAATCATACTAACAAGTGCCACAGAAAGGTTAGATTTTTTGGCCTTGGCATTGGCTTCGGCTTTGTTTCTTGCCTAAACTAATGGCCAGAGCCTAGCCTAGCCTCCTAGCTAGCTAAGCCTGCTAGCTTGTGCCCAAGCCTAACCCAGATCCTAAGCCCAAGCCAGATCCTAGCCCTGTCTTCTCTTTTTGGAAATTTCACTTTCCTACTCAAGTAGCTAGCTCTGGCTATTGCGTGAGTTCCAGATTAATCATTTATTTAATCAGAATCAATTTCCTTAACTCCAATCCAACTTTCACTGCACCAACTCCGACGCTGACATTGAAAATTTTCTTTTAAAAATGCTGGCGGCTAGTTGAAGTCTTGAAAGAGAAATTCCCGGTCTCTCAATGTTTTTGCCACCTTTCCGTCAGTTAGTTGATAAATCCGGAGAGATTTGCGGTGCTTTTGCGAGCCGGCTTGTCCATTGTCCAATGCCAGGTCAATCGAACTCAAGCGCTTGCCTATCCGCCATTTTTTTTGTTTAATCCCTTTTTCAATCTTGATTTAACTCTCTTTGAGAAGTGTCAGCAAAGTAAAATCTTTGAAAATACACATTTTCTTCCAATTTTGTTCATTGCCAATGGCAAAAGGAGCTGGCGTTCCTTTTATACCCGCCCCGCCCCTTTTGCCATTTGCAATCTATTAGGTTGGCAACTAAATAATGGCCCTCGCCCTTTTTTGATAAAATCTTTTAATCTTTGCGTTTAATCTACCCTCGCTTGTTGTTAATTGAATATTACTGAATTTCTGGTGCATTATTATACGTTTTTTACTTTCCTTGATTTGATACTTTTCAAATAATTTTGTTTAGAAATGGAAGATCTCAAATATCGAATGCGTATCTGTCTCTGGTACGACTACAAACAAGTCAAAACAGCTGCCGAATCCCACAGAGATTTATTGCGAGTTTTTGGTGATGAAGCTCTTTCCGAAACACAATGTAAGAGATGGTATCGACGGTTCAAGGAAGGGGATGAAAGTCTTGAAGATGAGCCTCGCCAAGAACGCCAAGAACTTCTGCAGAACGATATTTTGGAAGCAGCTTTAAAGGAGGATTCAAGTCAAACATCACGCGAGCTAGGAGATCGATTGGGCTTTTCGCATACTGCAATCGAAAAGCGACTTCATGCATTGGGGAAAAGTAACCGCAGTGGAAAGTGGATTCCGCATGAATTGAGCAAAGAAAATAAAGCTACTCGTGTTATCACAGCTGGAATACTACTAAAACTTGCGAAAAAGGGAAGCTTCTTGGATTCCATTGTCACTTCTGATGAAAAATGGATCTTTTATGATAATCGAACGCGAAAACGACAGTGGCTTAGCACAAACGAAGACCCAAAACCAACTCCGAAGCCGGATATTCACTCAAAGAAAACTCTCCTCTGTGTGTGGTGGAGTTCTCGTGGGTTGGTGCATTTCGAGGTTCTCAAAAGCCGGCAAACGGTTAATTCAGAACTCTATTCGTCTCAACTACATCGTGTAGATCAAGCAATTCGCTCTCAAGGACTCGAACCCTCTTCAATTCATTTTCTCCATGATAACGCAAAACCACACACTGCAAAACTTACAATGGAGAAAATCGAGGAGTTGGGCTGGAATGTTCTTCCTCATGCGCCATACAGCCCGGATATGGGGCCTAGTGATTACCATCTTTTTCGATCGATGCAACACTTTCTACCCGAAAAAAAATTCAATGACCTTGACGAAGTCCGAATTTCAGTGCAGAAGTTCTTTGAGGATCAACCAGAAGAATTTTTCAAGAGAGGAATCCAGTTGCTCCGTCAAAAGTGGAAAGAAGTAATAAAGAATGACGGAGAATACCTTTTGGATTGATGTTGATATTTGTTCATCTTGTTAATAAATTTTTTGTTTTTACTGAAAAGGGCCATTATTTAGTTGCCAACCTGATAACTTTGAACTCAAATTTCTTGGTGCTGAGCTGTACAACTTCAATATTCTTGATATCAATAGATGCGCCAAGACTTTTTATATCGATTGGTACAAAAACTATTTCAATTGGACAGTTCAACACTAAGAAATTTGAGCTCAAAGTTGCCAATGGCCAAAGAGACGGGCGCGTATAAAAGGTCTTTCTGGCCTCGCCCCTTTTTCCAAGCTAACAATAGAAGAACAATAGATGAGCCTACATAAAGCTATTTCAATTGGACAGTCCAACCCCAAGATATATAAGTTCAAAGTTGAGTTGCCATTGGCAAAGGGTCGGAGCGCGTATCAAATTTCCCACAATCAGAAAGTTAGGTCCCAGCTCTGGTCCTGGCTTTAATGCAAACTAGAAGCCAGGCGCTGATCTGGTTTCCGGCTTTGCCTGGTCTGAGGCCAGGTCAGGCAGGCTCATGACTTCCTGGGACCTAGCATAGCGCTGGCCTTCCTAGCATAGCGCTGGCCTGGCTCTGGACAGGTTTTCCCTCTGTATCTGTACAGTGCAACTTTACCTCACAAAGTCAAGAATGACATCCAGATTGAATATTAAAATTGAAATTAAGCGAAAAGGATGCCGGATAGCCGAGAAAATGAGTCGGACTCAAACCGACTCCGACTAGTACCCCAGAAAAGAAATGCCAGGGCACAGCGAAATTGTAAACGCAATAGTGACATCCAACTTAGCCGATAAAGGCAAAATTTTAGGGAAAAAGCTCAGCAAATTCGTCAAAATGAGTTCAGAATCCTCATAATCAAAAAAACCCAAAAATCCTCTTAATTTCAGGCCCCCTCGCCTCAGCCCTTGCCAACAATTATGGTTGTCGTGCGGTCACAATCCTCGGCGCTTTCATCTCCTTTTTTGGTTTCATGGCCTCAACTCTTGTACCGCAGATCTTTCTCTTGTACATCACTTTTGGAGTGATTGGAGGTGGAGTTTTGTTTCGTTGCCCACTACGATTCCCATGTCAAATTTACCCATGTCTTTTCTAGGCGTCGGCTTCGGTTTGGTCTATCTGCCGGCGATCGTCATCGTCCCACAATACTTCGACAATAAGCGAGCCTTAGCGGTTGGGTTGGCCGTTTGCGGGTCGGGCATTGGCACCTCGCTATTCGCTTTGGTGAGTGGAAAAAATTATTGATGGAAAAACTTATGTGACCTCCAGGACGGCCATTGGCAAAAAAATTTCAAGCAAAATTGGTTCTGAAGTCGATAAAAGTAGTCAGTCCCAAAACCGAGAAATGACGACATCGACCAAATGGCAGATATTCTGAAAACTTGCCACCAAAGACTCCATGTGCTTTCCAGAACGGCCATTGGCCAAATGGCTAAATTTCAAACTGGTCCTGGAGTCGATAAAAGTAGTCAGTCCCAAAACCGAGAAATGACGTCATCGACTAAATGCTCTCCTTTTCTGAAAAATTTAGCGTTTTTAGGCTTAGTGCGTTCCAGCTCAAGCTCTGGTTTTGTAAAATTTCTCCTTGCCAACAGAATCTCAAAAATTTCCAGCTGAACCCAATCGTGATGACCCTTGTCAACAATCAGTGGCGCTACTTCATCGTCTTCATCGCCTTCTCGTCGCTGATCTCCGTTCTGGCCGGTTTATTCTTCAAACCCGTGCAAGCAACCGAGAAACAAGTGGAAGAGGTACGGTAGTTTTGGGCGTAACCGCAAACGCACCGATCTAGTGCACTGAAATTTTTTTCTTAAAAATTTTAATGTTTTTTTTGCAATCAGGTGCTTTCCTGCGTTCCATAATACCCAAAAATCACAAAAAATAATTTCCCAAAAAGGATTTTCACTTGAAATTATGCTCAAACTCAATTTTCAGGTGACCAAGCTCGCCGAAGAGTACGAAAAAGAGAAGGTTGGTTTGGAAACGATTTGCATACCGATTTGCCTACCAATTACAGGAGCCAGCCGAGGGTTTGCGCGGCGAGCGGAACAATTTCGATCCTAATCGACCCTTTTTGTCGACGCTTGAGCTGAACGCTGAGAAGACCCAGGTCCGATAATTTTTCATCAACATTTCGCCAATCTGAAACTCTACAAAATTAACATGACATCCATAATTGATGTTTTTGATTTTAAAATTACGCAAAATCAATTGAGAAACTCGATTTTGTCAAGTGAAGAATTGACCCAAATGTGCTTGAAAATGGCTTTGAAACTTGGCTAATCTAAAATTCTAAAAAACTAGCATGACATCCAAAATCACCATTTTGATTTCTCAAAATCCGCTAAATGTTAATTTTGCAGCAAAAAGACGTCTGGTCTCAGCACGATCTGGCGACGGAGGTGGCCCGGGAATCAGTTACTGATTTGAATCGACCACTCTCGAAACAAGACGTTTTCTATCCCGGGTCCACATCGAGTCTCCATCAGAGAACGAGGACAAGATCGGGTGAGTTCTAGCAGTAGTGCATCATAGTAGCTCTGGTCTGGGCTGGCTCTGGTCTGGGCTGGCTCTGGCTCTGGGCTGGCTCTGGCTCTGGGCTGGCTCTGGCTCTGGGCTGGCTCTGGCTCTGGGCTGGCTCTGGCTCTGGGCTGGCTCTGGCTCTGGGCTGGCTCTGGCTCTGGGCTGGCTCTGGCTCTGGCTCTGGCCAAAACAGGTACACGGCGCAAACTAGGCATCACTGTAGCCGCATCGGTTTTATTTTCTTTCCGAATCCAATTCTGGAATGCACAGCAGGCTCTGGAAAAAAAATTTTTAAAAAAGAATGAAAAAACAGATGATGGATTACGGTAGTTTTTAGAAAAGGGCACTTTTTAGGAAACAGACCAAAATGTTGCAAATTAATTTCTAAACTTGCGAACAGCAAAAGTGCATTTCAGGACGGGCAAAAAAGCCGTTTTACTGACTAGTTTGGGTTACGGTAGCCGGAAAAGGGCTTGCTATAGAAAACAGGGAACTACAGTACCCTCTTCACCGTATTCACAGTACTATTATCTCCAATACCGTACCCTTTTGACAAAGCCCAGCATTTAGACGCCTCATCGCACAAATCCAATCGTAAGTTTCGTCTGCGTACAGTGTCGTAGTTGTGAAATCGCTTAAAAACCCTGAGTTCCCAAGTTGAAAATTTTTAATACAGCAATCCTTTAACTTTTTTGTATCCAAATAATAGCATGCTATCCAGAATCGCCATTAAAGCTCAAAAAATTCGCATATCTCCAATTTCAGCCTCGGCAGCCGACCGCGAGGCATTCATCAAGCCGGATGAGGTAAGGAAAATTTTTTAGAAATGGAAAATCTTTCGATATTTATTGATAGAACTTTTACGTGACTGCCAGATCTTAGGAAAAACTGATTAGATCTTGAAATCTCTTCACTTTGTGCATCATTTAGTTTAGGGCACAAAATACGGTGCACTCGAAAACAATTCCGCTCCTTTACTGAACAATGTGGGTGGTTCGAAGCCGAATTTTCTAGCGTTAGAGTCTAGATTGACAGAATAATTGCAAGTCTAGACAGAATAATTGCAAAATGAATTGTTAAAGTGGATTGTTCAGGTGCACCAATCGTCGCATCACATCTCGACAGTCGGGCTGCCAGCTGCGGCTGAACCGCTTCCCCCGTCAGGCCCAAGGAGATGGCTGTGCGCTGTTGGACGGGTTAGTTTTCATTCTGAAAACAAGCAAAAATTAACAGAAATATGGCCCTGCCTGGCTTGCTACAAACCTCGCCTGTTGGCGATCTTCCAAATTCATTTTTACTAGCCCAGACCAAGGCAGGCAGGACCAGAAAGAGCAGAAGCTAGCACCTAAGCCTGAGCCTGGGCCTAAGCCTGGGCCTGAGCCTGGGCCTGAGCCTGAGCCTGGGCCTAAGCCTGAGCCTAAGCCTGGGCCTAAGCCTAAGCCTGAGCCTAAGCCTGAGCCTAAGCCAGAGCCTAAGCCTGAGCCTAAGCCTAAGCCTGGGCCTGAGCTTTACTGCCGTCGACAAAACGCTTTTGGGTCCAACAGAAGCTGGCTCTGGCCTGGCTTGCACTAGCCGTGGCATCCCTGGACAAGTATGAGTGTTGTTTCGAACTAAAGAGCCCAATGATCCCCAGAATTCAGCTCTTGGAGCTTTTAACCCTCTTGGAGCTCTTAACCCTTGTAAAAGTGAGGATGATTTTGCGATTCCGAAAAAATTGTGCAATGATCTGGACGTTCTGGATATCATTGCAAAATATTTTGACAAAATAAATGAGGTTTGCGACAAATTCATGAAAGCACTTTTTTGGATTTCTTGGTCCACAGAATCTTTTATCTTTGAATGCATTAACCTCAAGAATTTCTTAATTTTCGTCAATCCTGGATGTCATTGCAAAATATTTTGACAAAACAAATCAGATTTTCGACAAATTCATGAAGGCACTTTTTGGATTTCCTGTTCCTCAGAATCTTTCACTTTTGAAAGCACTAATTTCAAGAATTTCTTAATTTTCGTCAATCCTGGATGACATTCTTGGTTTATCAAATAAAATCTATTCTGGTTTTTTTGTAAATTCATCAATTCCACGTCACAAAAGTACGGGCAGCGGGTCAGAAGGCGAAATAAACAGTTGTAGAGAGCGTCCTTTTGACTGACCACTCCCGATAAGCCGCAAGCGCGTCCGAATCGATTCGAAAAGTAACAAATGCTTTCTAGGGTTGGACCATGGCCTGACCTTGGTTGGGCAACAGAATTGGGCAAATTTTCAAGTCCAGGATTTTCCCAGCCCTAACTATGGCCTCATCAATTTCATCCGAATCTTGCAGGCTTTCGGCGGTCTGGTCGACCGTCAGCTCCTCAAATTGCCTACTTTCGTGATCCTCGCCATTTCCGGTTTCCTCACGCTCACCTGCTTCTATGTGCCCTTCGCGTATTTGGGAAGACATCTGGAGAAGTTCGTTTTAAGCAATAAAAAATTCTACAGCACTTTCTACAGCACTACAGCACTTTTTCAGAATCGAGGGTCTCACCGATTTCTGGAAATCTTTCCCCCTGCAATTGCTCGGCGTCATCAACATCGTTTTTCGGATACTTTGCGGGTTGGTTATAGGGGAAAGGCCTGATAGTCACTTTATAGCCAATTTGAAATTCTAAAAAATTAACATGACATCCATAATCACCAATTTTGATTTTAAAATTGCTCAAAATCAATTAAAAAGCTCGATTTTGTCGAGTGAAGAATTGACCCAAATGTGCTTGAAAATTTTTTGAAACTCGGTTAATCTGAGATTCTAGAAAATTAACATGACATCCATAATCGCCATTCTTGATTTTAAAATTGCTCAAAATCAATTCAGAAGCTCGATTTTCTCGAGTGAAGAATTGACCCAAATGTGCTTGAAAATTTTTTGAAACTCGGCTAATCTAAAATTCGAAAAAATTAACATGAAATCCATAATCGCCATTTTGATTTCTCAAAGCCCGCTAAATGTAAATTCAGAGCGGGTTCAGAGGTGCTTCAAAAGCAGGGTAAGGTCAGGCCAAGTCTTGGCATCGCCTGAGCCGAAAAATTTCCGCCGGAAACTCTCTGACAGTGTTCTTTTCCTGACAGAGTTGACAGAGTTCCCGCGGAACGTTCTTTTCCTGCGAATTCCAGAGATTTTCAGAAAGAAATCTTTCGACAAGCATTTTTGGCGGAATTTTTGCGGCTCCGTGGGAATCCTTTGTACCGGAAAACATAGCAAAACGTTGTTCCACTAGAGTCAGACCTAGTTTTACTGTAGACCTGGAAACGGAGACCAGACCTTGCCTTGCCTGGCTCGCAGGTAGGCTCCCTGGCTGGCCAAGATTGGCCAAGATTGTTAGCCTAGTTTACAAGCCCTTAGGGTCCAAGTAAGCAAGCATTTGATCCACAGTACGAAAGTGATTCAAAATTTCTGTGCAACTTCTGCTTTGTGTTCCAGATCTCAGAAAAAACGCATCAGATTGAGATTTCGAACATTTTGAGGTCACATTTTCGAGCAAAACTCTTTCCAGAAAAATCTCGGACAGCCCGAAGGTTGATTCGTTGTGGGTGTCGAATGCGGGTTTGATTCTAGCCGGTTTGGCGACAATGGCCGTCCCACTCTTCACCCAGTATTGGCATTTCATCGCTTTCTGTTTCCCGTTCGCTTTTGGCGTTGGTGAGTGATTGAAAAACCCAAAAAAATCGTTTAAAATCGTGTAAAAAGAATTTTGAGTCTTGTAGGCAAGAAAAATGATTTACCATAACCATTTTGAATTTAAAACTGACCCCAAATTTAGTCGTGAGGTTTCCAAACGTTTTTGCAAAAAAAGCAAAACGATTTCGCAGCGAGCAGGATTCGAACCTACGCGGGCAGAGCCCATTTGATTTCGAGTCAAACTCCTTAACCACTCGGACATCGCTGCATGGGAGAGAGGCGGCGGGAAAGGGGCTGAAAAGGTGGCGGGGAAAGAGGAAAGGAACAAGAATTCAAGGCAAAGCTAGACTTCGGCTATCAAAATCAGATTCAAATTTAAATCCAGATTCGAATTTAAATCCAAATCCAAATCCAAATTTAAATCCAAATTTAAATCCAAATCCAAATCCGAATTTTTATCAAATCCTCAGTCTATCTTTAGTTCATTTTCCTTTTTCTAATATCATTTTTGAGTTATTAACACTCCGATAACCGTCATTGAGTATTTTTCTGACAAAGCTTTCTCCTTTGAGGCCTCTCCACCTTTCTAGCACTGGGAAAGTGAAGGGCAAAAATTTTTACTCTAAATTTGATAGAGTTCTTAAATCGAAATTTCAGCGTGCTTCGCGGCACTCCGTTCCGTCATTTGCGTTGATTTGTGGGGTTTGGAGAAGTTGTCATCGGCTTTCGGCACACTTTTGCTATTTATGGGAGTCGGCGCACTGGTCGGATCGCCGATTGCTGGTGGGTTTGAGGAGCATCGCATTTGAAATATAAACTCTAACCTTATTTTAAAAACAAATCTCTAAACCCTCCGATTTTCAGCGTCCATCAAGGACTGGTCGGGCAATTTCGACATATCGTTCTACGTGATGGGCGTCTTGATGACTTTATCGGGTGAGAAATATAAAGATTTCAAATATTATACAAGATTTATAAACTATGGAACGGGCAATAATACTGTAAAAACGTCGTTTTGTAAAGAAATTAAAATATCTTTCGTTTCTCCGAAGCGATAAAAATTACACAAAATGCGAATTGACTGGGTTTTGATGGGAAACAAATACGAAAATTCGCATTTTAATACAAAAAACTTTATTTCCAGGTCTCATCTGCATCCCATTGCGAAAGTTGCGAGCGTGGGAACTGCAAAAGTACGGCGAGGAGACGGCGAAAACCGTCGAATTGCAGCCGCTGAAGAGTTCAGCTTGATTTCTCCGCGAAATTAAAAGATTTCCAAAAACCTTTCAATTTTTCCTTCATTCTGTTGCTCACGTAACTCGAAAGCTTTCAAAAAGAAATGGATTTTTCATAAAATTTTTCGAAAGTCATTTCTCGTCAAATTTCTCTCATTTTCGGTGTGGCCTTAACAAATGTTTCTCGAATTTCGCAAAATTTCAATTTTTGATGCTTGTTTTCATTTTCATTTTTCGGAGCTTGTTTTTTGTAGTAAAATGTCGATTTGGAAGGTTTTGAAATAGAAAAATTCGCAAATTAGAGCTTTCAAAGAGCAAAGACGTTAAGAAAAAGACTACCAGAGATTTCCTTAAACATTTGACAAATTCGAAAGCACTGACACTTTCACAGCCATTTAGACCTTTAAAAAGTACAGAAAATATCCAACCGTTTTCTTTTCATTTCAAAAAAAATTTTAACAAACTTTATTTTGAATAAATGAACAGCAGCAAAATATAGCAGATAAAAGACCATTAATCTGTCAATTTAAAAAATGGAAACAATGATAGAAAGTCACAAAAATATACAATGAATCATGAAAGAGTGATTTCAATCATTTTTATCGACGGGGACGTAGAAGGCCAAAAGGGTATCATCGTCGTCGTACACGTAGATGCAGTCCTTTCCTGAATCAAAACGTCGACGGAATATCGAGCTTTCTTCCATGCAGAATTTAACCTGACGACCATAATATCCAAAACTCCAAAGATAGTTCGCCTGTTTGAGAAGTCGAAGACGATTCTCTCCATCGATTCGTCGCATTCCTGGATATTGTGAGAGATCTATCGGGAACGCAAAGTTATATACATCAAGGCAAATAGCAGCCTCAGGGTGCTTGCTCGGGATTCCATTGGTGATGATCTGTTGAATAATCAAATCAGAGCAATCCCCTGAATCCAAACGCATAAGAACGTTTTTGGTTTCAGACTTCGACAATGCGTTGTAGTAAAAGCGAACTGAATCTTCAGTACGACAGTCAAGCCAAACTTTCTCGCAATCCTTGAGTTGAGGTCCCAGCATAAAATTCTCGATCCAATCATTCATCATTTGATCATCGAAAGCACCGTAGTCGATATCCAGTTCTGCTTTTTCCTTGATCGATGCGTGGAAATTTGAGAAGAATCTCTCCAGGGTTTCTTTTGAAATCCATCGCAGCCCTAATCGATTCACCGACTTCAAATTCTTCAGAAGTGTATATTTCTCGTTAAATTGATGATCGCGATCAAGCGTTAAATTGATGATCATCAAGCGATCGCATGATCGGATCTTCTTAACGAAAGAAAAGTGAGAAAATGGACGATCGAAATTGAGCTCCATTTCAATTGAATTCGAAAACTTCATGATCCTCGGCCCATCGTCGTCAAAGTGAATCCGATAGACGTGCTCTCCAAAAACGACCGAAGGATCCCTTACGAGCATCCCTTGGAATCCTTGATTCACCTTGGCCAACTCACACACATCCCTTGGTTCCATTTGTTCCAACGCTTCTAACTTCAAATCAAAACACAACTTCTCGATTGGAAATGACCTCAAATTCTTCATTTCGATTGACGCCATTCTTCCACCTATAAATAAAAAGATTAGACTTTGAGAATTTAGACAAATCAAGCTGGAATAAGTCACAAATAAGTCAATCCATCAAGAAATCGACAACTGCTTCAAACAGTAACTTCGTCATCGAACAATATTTTATAAATTTATTCCAAGCAACAACAATAACGAGAAAAGCCAGCAAAACATAACAAAAAGGTACTACGAAAAGGTGCAGTTGGGGGAGCACTTGAAATTTTCTCAAATGTAGTTTTTCTAGGGTAATTGATGGCTCTGACCACGAACAAAACATTTTAAAGTCATATTTTCAATTAGAAACTTATGTGCCTCTGCGGTGCGGAGCCAAAGCCTAGGAGATATAGGGACATGCAGTTTACTTTCTTTGTTTTTTCCAAACAAAGAAAGTTAATCGTACATGCTTTTTAATCGAAAACTTAACCTAAAAATGTTTTTTCGTGGTCCACGGTAATGTGTAGAGGACGTCCACTTGATGCCACACAGATGTCGGCGAAATCACATACTAAACCAAAAAGTTGTACAGTGTAGCTCAAGCTTAATTGATCATATTCAATTGCCTTCAAGAATCTCTCAAAAGTACCCACAAAATAGTACATCCACTTGGTCACCCAACAATCGACACAATGAAAAATCGTCGACAAGAACCTAAAGGCAAAATATTTTGATTGAAACTTTAAACTAAACGCCACCAACCAAGCGATCATTCCGATAACATTGTATCCCCGCCAGATTTGTTTATTTTGTATATTTGATCGCCAGTCGAGTTGTTGCCAAAAGAGATACGTCGTGACGAAGGTGAGAAAAGAGAAGATAGCCGATTTTGGTTCCTGAAACAAAAAGTAAAATAAGAAACATTTGTTCGCACCTGAATGACGATTGCCCCGAGTTCGGTGGCGGCGAGCGGCCATTCTCTGTGAAATTTCGCCGAGCTTGCCAGGTTGGGTGATTCGAATGATCGCCCATATGTTAAATTTCTAAATCTAAATGAGTTGATTAGTTATGCGTGTCATAAAAAAAACGCACTGAAAACACGGCTGCCTGCCTAAACCGTTCGTTCAATCGTTGTGAGCATCGATGTTCTCTTCGGCATCGTCAAGTGAATTCGCGGTAGTGTGGCTAAACCCGGGAATAATTTTAAATAGTGCTGATACTGCTTAAAAGAGTCAATATTTTCAGTTCTGAAGTGGTTTTGCCACTTCTTTTGCCCACTTCGTTTTGCCCCAAGAGCGCAAAATCGAGCTGAACTCCAGTTCGGGCGACCATAAGCCTACTTCTAACAGCCAAAAACCAACGCAGATCTACCCATACTGCTTCCTAGTTAGGCTTAATCCCTTACGTGCTAGTGCCGGAGTGACCCACTAGTCGAATCGATGAAGAGAAGCGCGAAGACGACAAGCGGTCATTGACAAGGGAAGAGAGCGACCCGACATCAACGAACATGTGATGGCCCTAAAAATGCACATTGTGTTCGTTGATAATAGAAAGGATGCAAAAATCGAGAAGCAAAATCAGCAATTTAATAAAAACAACCATCCAAGAGCAGCTCCAAAAAATATTGTGAAAACCTTTGCGCAAAACATGGTTTTATACCCCATCAAGCCAGCTTAATCCTATTGAATTAATTAACTGAATATTTTCATTTTTCTGTGCCTGCTTTTGCCATCCATATATTTTCGAGTGTCCCCTCTTTGAATTTTCTTTTTGTAGTAAAAGCGAAATGAATCTTCAGAATCACAGTCAAACCAAATCTTCTCGCAACCCTCAAGCTGTGCGACGATGAATTTCCGGATGAAATCTTTGATCACTTGATCATTGAGTATAGCGGCGAGTGCGCTATCCAGGTTTCCTTCTTTCTTGATCAATCGGTGGAAATTCCAGAAAAGTTTCTTGAAGGCTTTTTTGAATTCCGTTTCATCTCCAATCGATTCACCGACTCCAAATTGTCCAGAAGTCTGTATTGATCGTTGAATTCTAGATGAAAAATTCGAATTTCAAATCGAAGCACAACCTCTCCATTGGAAATGTCCTCAAATTCTTCATTTCGATTGACGCCATTCTTCCACCTAGAAATAAAAAACTTAGATTTTGAAAATTTAGAAAAATAAAGCTGGAATAAGTCAAAAATAAGGCAATCAATCGAGAAATCGACAACTGCTTCAAACAGTAACTTCTCATCGAACAATATTTTATAAATTTATTCCAAGCAACAACAATAACGAGAAAAGCCAGCAAAAGATGAGCAAATGACCGTTTTGCTTGTCGTCTTTGCGCTTCTCCTCATCGATCCGACTAGTAGGTCACTCGGAGATTGGTTCGTAAGTGGTTAAGCCTAACCAGGAAAAAGTAGGGGTAGAACCGCGTCGCTTTTTGGCTGCTAGAAGTAGGCTTATGGTTGCCAGAAAGGGTGTTAAGCTCGATTTTGCGCTCTTAGAAGTGGCAAAACCACTTCAGCACTGAAAATATTGACTCTTTTAAGCAGTATCAGGCCTATGAACCCCTCAGAGTTTAAATTATCAGAGAACAAAGTTTTGACAAAAATCGCTTAAAACCATTGCATTATTCGCGTCTTTAAAATTTAGCCACACAACCGTGAACGAGCCCAGGAGGGAGGCAGCCATGTTTTCGGTGAGTTTTTTTGATTTGACACGCATAACTAATCAACTCATTTAGATTGAGAAATTTAGCATGTCGGCCACTAATCCGACCATTCGAATCACCCAACCTGGCAACTCGCCGGCGAAATTTCACGGAGAATGGCCGCTCGCCGCCACCCAACTCGGGGTCATCGTCATTCAGGTGCGGATAAGTGTTTCTTATTTTACTTTTTGTTTGAGAAACCAGCATCGGCTATCTTCTCTTTTATCAACTTCGTCACGACGTATCTCTTTTGGCAACAACTTGGCTGGCGATCAAATGTACAAAGAAACAAACTAGCGGAGATACGCTGTTGTCGAAATGATGGCTTGGTTGACGTTTAAAGTTTCAATCAAAGGGTTCTGGTTTCAGGTTCTTGTCGACGATTCTTCATTGTGTCGATTGTTGGGTGACTGAGTGGATGGACTATTTTGTGGGTACTTTTGAGAGATTCTAGAAGGCAATTGAATATGGTCAATTAAGCTTGAGCTACACTGTACAACTTTTTGGTTTAGCATGTGGCTATTGCTTCGCCGTCCTCTACACATTACTCACGTTGACAAAGAGGAGATATGCAACGTTTTGGTGAGTCCTTAATTGAAATAGTATTATTGAAATAATTACGGTAAGTCGATTTACTGTCCTCAGCTCTTTTCTCTTTTACCAAAATTAAACAACTAGAGGGTTCCGGTAGCTTTTTCAAAGGGCATCTTTATGATAAGCTTCAATACAAGACTCCCCTGTCGACCCCTCGAAATCGGGACCTTTCCGAACTTCTTTTTGGCTGGAATGGGAGATATGGGTCTACATAGAAGTACTTTAACCTCGGTAGTAAACTTGGAAACGAACGTAGGTTTTAAAAAAAATCAAAGGTATTTTTTAAATCTACAAGAGGAACCAGAGGGATTGACTATTCTATCGTACTTCATTTTCCTTTTTCTATTACCATTTTTGAGTTCTTTTTGAGAACAGTCCGGTAACGGTGGTTGGAGATTTTTCTGAAAAAGCTTTCTCCTTTGACGCTTCTCTACCTTTCTAGCACTGGGAAAGTGAAGGGCAAAAAATTTGACTCTAAATTTGATAGAATTCTTGAATCGAAGTTTCAGCGTGTTTCAAACTTTAGGCACCCCTTTTGCTATTTATTTATCGGCACTGATCGGATCGCCGATTGCCAGTGGGTTGGGGGAGAATTGCATTTAAATAAAAATCTTAATCTTATTTTAAAAACACATACATCTCTACGAACGCACACCACTCTAAAAGTTTTGCAAGAAAATGAAGAAACTACAGTAGCCACACAGACTATGGCATGCACAGCACTATTTTTGCTCGTTAAAAACTTTTATTTCCAATGAAAATGAGAAAACATTTGGGTGCGCCCGAAAGCGCACGGTTACCTGAAAGAATACATAAAACGATTTGACTGGGTTTTGAAGGGAAAACAATCCGAAAATTAACATTTTAATATAAAATCCCAATTTTTAGGTCGGCGAGGAGACGGCGAAAATTATCAAATCCCAGCTGAAGAGATTAAATGAGTAAAAGCTTGATTAAAAGATTTTATATTAAAAAATTCAAAGATTTCCAAAAACTTTTCAATTTTCCTTTCATCCTATTGCTCACGGTCTTGGTCAAAACTTTCGGTGCATACTATTGGGTTGGCCGATAAGTAATGCGTCAATTTTAGACAGAAATATCTTTTCAATAAAGCCATATAAATCAATCAAAATAGTTTTTATCTTTTACGATTCCTATGCCCATTTTACTGGTAGAAGGCGAATTCCTCTTTCGTAAAAAATCTTTCGTTTTGAGTCAAACTAGTTCTGTACCCATTTTTTGGTATCTTTTTCATCTTTAAAGTGTTCTCTAAGTGTTCGCAGTGTGTAGGCGAGCATTGTCATGCTGCAGTATGATCTTTTTCAGATCTGGTCTTTTTGTCTCAAGGGCTTTAGCCCGATTCTGAAGTTGATTACCGTATAGTTGAGAGTTAAGTACTTGCTTGCTATCCTATAACTTCTAGCACTCCCAGTATCCAACAACCCCCAATAACAACCTCAACCGGTCTCTCCGGAACCTCAAAATCTAAAGATTTCAAATATTATACAAGATTTATAAACTATGGAACGCGCAATAGTACTGTAAAAAACGTCGTTTTGTAAAGAAATTAAAAGATCGTTCGTTTCTCCGAAGCGATAAAAATTACCCAAAAAGCGAATTGACTGGATTTCCAAGGGAAACAAATAAGAAAATTGGCATTTTAATACAAAAATCTCAATTTCCAAGTCTCATCTGCATCCCATTGCGAAAGTTGCGAGCGTGGGAACTGCAAAAGTACGGCGAGGAGACGGCGAAAACCGTCGAATTGCAGCCGCTAAAGAGTTCAGCTTGATTTCTCGGCGAAATTAAAAGGTTTCCAAACACCTTTCAATTTTTCCTTCATTCTGTTGCTCACGTAACTCGAAAGCTTTCAAAAAGAAATGGATTTTTATCAAACTTTTCGAAAAGTCATTTCTCGTCAAATTTCTCTTTTTTGGTGTGGCCTTAACGAATTTTTCATGAATTTCGCAAAATTTCAATTTTTGACGCTTGTTTTCGTTTTCATTTTCATTTTCTGGAGTTTGTTTTTTGTAGCAAAATCTCGATTTGGAAGGTTTTGAAATGCAAAAAATTCGTTTCGAAGGCTTCACAGAGCAAAGACGTTAAGAAAAAGATTACCAGAGATTTCCATAAAAATTTGACAACTTCGGAACGCACCAACACTTTCACAGCCCTTTAGACTCCCAAAAAGTACCGATAATATCAAACTGTTTTCTTTTCATTTCACAAAAGATTTTAAAACTTTATTTTAAATAATGGAAAAGCAACAGAATATAGCAGATAAAAGACCAATAATCTGTCAATTTAAAAAATGGAAACAATGATAGAAAGTCACAAAAATATACAATGAATCATGAAAGAGTGATTTTAATCATTTCCATCGACTGGGACGTAGAAGGCCAAGAAGTAACCAGTATCTCGATCGTCGTATACGCAGATGCAGTCCTTAGTTGAATCAAAACGTCGACGGAACATTGAATTTTCTTCCATGATGACATCAGAAACACCATAACGAAAATTTCCAAAATTCCTCACAATGTAGTTCGCCTGTTTGCAAAGTTGAAGACGATTCTCTCCATCGATTCGTCGCATTCCTGGATATTGTGAGAGATTCAGCGAGAAGCAAAATCCACATAAACAAAGGAGTATAGCAGCATCAGGGTTCTTGCTCGGGATTCCATTGGTGCTGATCAGTTGAATCATCAAACGAAAGCAAGCCTCTGAATAAATACGCATATAAACGTTTTTGATTTGAGACTTCGACAAGGCGTTGTAGTAAAAGCGAACTGAATCTTCACTACGACAGCGAAGCCAAACCCTCTCGCAATCCTTGAGTTGAGGTCCCACCATAAAATTCTCGATCCAATCATTCATCATTTGATCATCGAAAGCCCTGCAGTAGGTAGCCAGTTCTGCTTCTTTCTTGATCGATGCGTGGAAATTTGAGAAGAATCTCTCCAGGGTTTCTATTGGAGACGATTCCTGCCACAATTGGTCGCACGATCGAATCTTCTTGACGAAAAAAAAGTGAAAAAAGGGACGATCGACATTGAGCTCCATTTCATTTGAATTGGAAAACTTCTTGATCCGAATCATTTCATAGAATAATCGAATCCGATAGACGTGCTCTCCAAAAACGATCGAAGGATCCCTCACGAGCATCCCTTGGAATCCTTGATTCACCTTGGCCAACTCACACACATCCCTTGGTTCCATTTGTTCCATCGCTTCTAACTTCAAATCGAAACACAACTTCTCGATTGGAAATAACCCCAAATTTTTCATTTCGATTGACGCCATTCTTCCACCTATAAAAAAAAAATTAGACTTTGTTTTGACATAAAGAGATGCTTTAAGGCTAACCGCAATGTTAGGAAATAGTGAAGTTGAGATATTAGGTTGGCAAGTTATAAACGATCGTTTTTGGGTTTTCTGAAAAACGACTTATCCAAACAGGTTTGCTTGATTCAAAAGCCCTATCCTTAATCTACAAAATGGTTTTTTTGAATTTTTGAAAAATGTTTTATTTTAGAACTTTTTCAGGCATTTTAATGTAAGAGTTCAAAATCCTGATTTCTAGCATTCATGAGCTAATATATTTTTGAGTGATTGCATACTTTTTAAAATAAAACGCTTCGTTGATTACATAGTTTCCCAAAATTTCAGAACAATCCAATCTTCGGAAGGTTGATTTTCAAATTAGGCTCAAATTGCACTTTTGTGCTAATTTAATCCATTTTCGTTTGAATTTAAGCAAGATTAAAAAAAAGAGAACGGTTCGATCGATTGGATTGTTCTGAAATTTTGGGAAACTATGTAATCAATGAAGCGTTTTATTTTAAAAAGTATGCTATCACTGAAAAAATATATTAGCTCATGAATGCTAGAAACCAGGATTTTGAACTCTTACATTAAAATGCCTGAAAAAGTTCTAAAATAAAACATTTTTCAAAAATGCAAAAAAAAGCCATTTTGTAGATTAGGGATAGGGCTTTTGAATCAAGCAAACCTTTTTTTTGTTTGGATGAGCCGTTTTTTCAGAAAACACATTACCCAAAAACGATAGTTTATAACTTGCCAACCTAATATAAATAAAGCTAGAATAAGTCACAAATAAGTCAATCCATCAAGAAATCGACAACTGCTTCAAACAGCAACTTTATCATCGAAAAATATTTTATAAATTTATTCAAAGTAACAACGATAACGAGAAAAGCTAGCAAAACATCACGAAAAGGTACTAAGGCAGTTGGGGAGCACTTGAAATGTGCTCAAATGTAATTTTTCTAGGGTAATTGATGGCTTTGATCACGAACAAAACATTTTAAAGGCATTTTTCCAATTAGAAACTTCTGTGCCTCTGCGGCGCGGAGCCGTCTGCACACCAGATTTGTTTCTTTTGCATATTTGATCGCCAGCCAAGTTGTTGCCAAAAGAGATACGTCAAAATCTTTCAAAAGTACTCACAAAATAGTCCATCCACTCGGTCACCCAACAATCGAGACAATGAAAAATTGTAACCTAAAGGCAAAACATTTTGATTGAAACTTTAAACGCCAACCAAGCAATCATTCCGACCACACCGTCTGCACACTAGATTTGTTTCTTTTGTATATTTGATCGCCAGCCAAGTTGTTGCCAAAAGAGATACGTCGTGACGAAGTTGAGAAAAGAGAAGGTGGTTCATCCACTCGGGCAGCCAACATCGACACAATGAAAAATCGTCGACAAAAACCTGAAACCCCAACCGGGCTGGTTCAATCGTTTTGTATGCGTGTGTCAACGCGGGCAATGTGTAGAGATGGCGAAGCAATAGGCACATGACGAAGTTGAGAAAAGAAAAGAGAAGATAACCGATGTTGGTTCCTGAAACAAAAAAGTAAAAATAAGAAACACTTGTTCGCACCTGAATGACGATTGTCGACGATTGAGTTGGGTCACAGCGAGCGGCCATTCTCTGTGAAATTTCCCCGGCGAGTTGTCAGGTTGGATGATTCGAATGATCGCATCAATGGCCCACATGCAGTCGCATTTACATCTAAATGAGATGATTAGTTATGCATATCAAATAAAAAAAACTGACGGAAGACGTGGATGCTTGCTCCAACCGGGCTCGTTCAATCGCTGTAGGCATCCGTGTTCTTTTCGACATCGTAAAGTGCATTCGCGGTAGTGTGGCTAAACATGAACGTAATTTTAAAGACGCGTATAATGCAATGGTTTTAAGCAATCTTTGTCAAAACGCTCTTTGTTCTGCGACGAATTGAACTCCGAGAAGTTTAGAGGCCTGATACTGCTTTAAAGAGTCAATATTTTCAGTGCTAAAGTGTTTTGCCACTTCTAAGAGCGGAAAATCGAGGTTAACCCCACTTCTGGCAACTATAAGCCTACTTCTAGCAGCCAAAAAGCAGCGAAGATCTCCCCGTACGTTTTCCTAGTTAGGCTTAACCACTTACATGCCAATCCCCGAGTGACCCACCAGTTGAATCGATGAAGAGAAGCGAAAACGACGCGCCAGACGTTGATCGACGGCGAAAGATAGAGACCCGACATCAACGAACATGTGATGGCCCTAAAGATGGACATTGTATGCGTTGATAATGAAAAAAATGAGAAGCAAAAACCAACAAATTAACAAAAACAAGAGCAGCTCCGAGAATATTATGGCAACTTTTGCGAAAAACATTTATTTACACCTTCTTAAGCCAGTTTAACGCCGCTCATTTAATTAAGTGAATATTTTCACTTTTCTCTCAGAAAGTGACTACAATGCGTACATTGCATATGGTTTTCGAGTGTCCCCCTCTCCGAATTTTCAGTTTTTACTCCCTTTTTCTTACGACACATTGCAAAATTGCCGGAAAAACGTTTCGATATCTTAGGCAAGAAAAGAAATATGACAAAGAACTTTACATAAATTGGAGACATCACGTCATTTATATGATTTATTAACAAAAAATCAATGACCAGCTTTTAACTGGGACAAAACCATATAGTTCCATTCCAATAATGTTAAACTTTTAAAAGCAGAATGTTCTTAAGTAAAAATGAAATAAACTCACAGACGAGCCATTATAAAGAAGCAAATTTTGAAAATATGGCGTGCAGAAAATATGCCGTTCCAGATAAGAAAATTGGCACAGAGAAGTGCCCAAAATGAAACAATTAATGCGTGGCGACGATAATTTCCTGCTATAAGCAAACGAAGCAGAAAGAGGAAGAAAACGATCTAGGGTAGACAAGCCGTAAATAATTGGACCCCATGGGGTAGAGGGTGGGGTATATTAGAGGACATTATTAGTTTTACGGTTTTTAATTTGGGAATGGATGGCTCCGAGGAACCTCAGTTTGAGTTCTCGTTTAAATGTCATTTAGGTGAAGCGACGGAGAACTCTCCTCTTCACTCTCCTCCAATCTCATTTTTACCTCACGGAGGACATCAGCTACTTTCGTTTCTTGCGAAAGTAGCGAAATTATTTTCTCGAGAAAAAATTCCTCTGACTTTCGTTCGAGTGTCCAATTTTCGGCAATTCCTAGGACTTTCGGAATAGTTGGAAATAATCAAAGCTACGATAGATTTACTATTCGAGTTGGAAAGCTAGAGATTGGCCAGAGAAAATCTGTTATTACTCACAAAAAGGGCAAAACCAGCACTTTTCAATGGAAAATGTAAGAAAAGATGAGAAAACTGATCTCCTTTTCTGAACATCTTTTTTGCTGAACATTTATCAATGGGTATAAAGAGAAAAAAAGATTTGCCAATGGTACAAAATGTTTAAGATGAACAAGTCAAAAAGATTTATTTTGCACTGTCGAAGAGAAATTATTGGTTCTTTGACAGCTTTCATTTTTTTTTATTGGCTCTTAGGATTTCACATCTATTACAGGCATGGCAATACTAATGTTAAACCTACAACAATCTGCCGAAGTTACAATGGCTCGTTAAAAAATTACCTCTTGAAAATTGAAAACTACCTCTTTACTACATAAAAAATTTCATTCGGGAAAGTTTTTCTCAGTCAAATTTGTGGTATTTTTGTCCAAAAAAATTGTTTCCAACAAATTCATAGCGCCAGAACAGCTGATATAACGAGATACGCATATGAATTGAATATCGAAAATACTCAATTTTCCCTGCTCCTCCAAAAGGAGCTTGACATCAACTTAAATTTGGTTATGCCAGTTCAGCCAAAACGTGATATTAAACGCTATTTTTGCATTGAAGAAATATTGAAGAGCTTTTCTTAACAATTTTTAATAGAGAAAAGCGGCCAAATGACAGATCCGCCGGAGAGATGTCGACTAGCGCTCATTCAAGCGCTTGTTAAATGAGTTGTATAAGTCCAATCGGGAAGTTTTTGGTCGATAAATGTTGCCGAAAATTAGGGCTACAATTCTCTATATAACACTTGCCACTTTTGAAATAAATTAGACATTTCCCAAATACTTTTCCAAAAAGTTGTTGCTATAATTCGCGGTCACCCTGTATTTTTGCTCGTTAACAACTTTTATTTCCAATGAAAATGAGAAAACATTTGGGTGCGCCAGAAAGCGCGCGGTTACCTAAAAAACCTTTCAATATTTCCTCCATTCTGTTGCTCACGTAACACGAAAGCTTTCAAAAAGAAATGGATTTTTATAAAATTTTTCGAAAAGTCATTTCTCGTCAAATTTCTCTTTTTCGGTGTGGCCTTAACGAATTTTTCTTGAATTTTGCAAAATTTCAATTTTTGCTGCTTGTTTTCATTTTCATTTTTCGGAGCTTGTTTTTTTGTAGTAAAATGTCGATTTGGAAGATTTTGAAATAGAAAAATTCGCAAATTAGAGCTTTCACAGAGCAAAAAAGTTAAGAAAAAGAATACCAGAGTCCTTAAAAATCCTTAAAAAAAAGAATCCTTAAAAATTTGACAAGTTCGGAACGCACCAACACCTTCACAGCCCTTTAGACTCCCAAAAAGTACAGATAATATCAAACTGTTTTCTTTTCATTTCACAAAAGATTTTAAAACTTTATTTGAATAATGGAAAAGCAACAAAATATAGCAGATAAAAGACCAATAAATAATCTGTCAATTTAAAAATGGAAACAATGATAGAAAGTCACAAAAATATACAACGAATCATGAAAGAGTGATTTTAATCATTTTAATCGACCGGGACGTAGAAGGCCAAGAGTTTACCATTACCTTCCTCGTCGTACACGTAGATGCAGTCCTTTCCTGAATCCAAACGTCGAAGGAAAACTGAGCTTTTTTCCATGGAGAAAAAAATAAACATCGTAACATGGATTTACAAAATTTCTCGCAAGATAGTTCGCCTGTTTGAGAAGTCGAAGACGATTTTCTCCATCGATTCGTCGCATTCCTGGATATTGTGAGAAATCTGTCGTGAAGTCCAAGCTATGATCAAGGAAAATAGCAGCCTCAGGGTTCTTGCTCGGGATTCCATTGGTGATGATCAGTTGAATAAGCAAATTAACGCAATCCCATGAAGAAGTCTCCATAGCAACGTTTTTGATTTGAGACTTCGACAAGGCGTTGTACCAAACGCGAACAGAATCTTCAGAATCACAGTCAAACGAAATCTTCTCGCAATCCTTGAGTTGAGCTGCCACCATAAAATTCCCCATCCGATCTTTGATCACTTGATCATTCAAAGCACTACCGTCGATAGTCAGAAATGCTTCTTTCATGATCGATGCGTGGAAATTTGAGAAGAATCTCTCGAGGACTTCTTTTGAATCCTCACGCAGCCCTAATCGATTCACCGACTTCAAATTGGTCAGAAGTTTCTCGTTGAATTGATGAGAATTCCATAACGACAAGTGATCGCAAGATCGGATATTCTTAACGAAAGAAAAGTCAGAAAAGGGACGATCGACATTGAGCTTCATTGCATTTGAATTGGAAAACTTCATGATCTTCGGCTGATCGGCGTGGGAGTGAATACGACAAACGTGCTTTCCAAAAATGATCGACGGATCTCTCACGAGCATCCCTTGGAATCCTTGATTCACCTTGGACAACTCACACACATCCCTTGGTTCCATTTGTTCCAACGCTTCCAATTTCAAATCGAAGCACAACGTCTCCATTGGAAATGAAGTTAAATTTTTCATTTCGAACCGCATGACTCTTACCTGTAAATAAAAAGATTAGATTTTGTTTTGACATAAAGAGGTGCTTTACGGATACCGGAAATGTTAGGAAATAGTGAATTTGAGATACAAATAAAGCTGGAATAAGTCACAAATAAGTCAACCACTCAAGAAATCGACAACTGCTTTATAACAGTAACTTTATCATCGAAAATATTTTATAAATTTATTCCAAGCAACAACAATAACGAGAAAAGCCAGCAAAACATAACGAAAAGGAACTAAGGCACTTGCTTGAAATTTGCTCCATGTAGTTTTTCTAGGGTAATTGATGGCACTGATCACGAAGAACACATTTTTAAGTCATGTTTTCAATTACAAACTTAAGTGCCTCTGCGGTGCGAAGCCAAAGACTAGGAAATATAGGGACATGCAGTTTTTCAAAACAAAGAAAGTTAATCGAGTACCGGCTTTTCAAAAGAAAACATAACCTAGGACTGTTTTCTTCGTGGTCAACGGTAATGTGTAGAGGAAGTCCACTTGATGCCACACAGATGTCGGCGAAACCAGATACTAAACAAAAAGTTGTACAGTGTAGCCCAAGTTTAATGGAGCATTTTCAATTGCCCTCAAATCTCTCAAAAGTACCCACAAAATAGTCGATCCATTTGGTCACCCAACAATCGACACAATGAAAAATTGTCGAGGAGAACCTAAAGGCAAAACATTTTGATTGAAACTTTAAACGCCAACCAAGCAATCATTCCGACCACAGCGTATCCCCACCAGATTTGTTTCTTTTGTATATTCGATCGCCAGCCAAGTTGTTGCCAAAAGGTTCCTGAAACAAAAAGTAAAATAAGAAACATTTGTTCGCACCTGAATGTCGATTGCCCCGGGTTGGGTGGCGGCGAACGGTCATTCTCTGTGAAATTTCACCGGCGACGTGCCAGGTTGGGTGATTCGAATGATCGCCCACATGCTAAATTTCTAAAGCTAAATGAGTTGATTCAAAAAATGAGTGCAAAATAAAAAATTCACCGAAAACATGGATGCCTGCCCAAACCGTTCGTTCAACCGTTGTGGGCATCGGTGTTCTCTTCGGCATCGCGAAGTGCATGTGGCTAAACATGAGAATAATTTAAATAGTGCTGATACTGCTTAAAAGAGTCAATATTTTCAGTGCTAAAGTGGTTTGGCCACTTCTATGAGCTGAACTCCACGTCTGGCAACCATAAGCCTACTTCTAACAGCCAAAAAGCAACGCAAACCTACCCATACTGCTTCCTAGTTAGGCTTAATCCCTTACGTGCTAGTGCCCGAATAACCCACTTGTAGAATCGATGAAGAGAAACGCGAAGACGACAAGCAAAACGACAAGCGGTCATTGACGAGGGAAGAGAGAGGCCCGACATCAACGAACATGTGATGGCCCTAAATATGCACATTGTGTTCGTTGATAATAGAAAGAATGCAAAAACCGAGAAGCAAAATCAGCAATTTAATAAAAACATAAAACTCAGGAGCAGCTCCAAAAATATTGTGAAAACTTTTGCGCAAAACATTCTTTTATACCCCATCAAGCCAGCTTAATCCTATTGATTTAATTAACTGAATATTTTCTCTTTTCTGTGCAGGAAGCGCTTTTGCATTGCATATAGTTTCGAGTGTCCCCTCTCTGAATTTTCAATTGTTCATAAAAAGGTGGCTCACTTGGCGTACCTGAATGTCTATTGATCTCCTTAATGTCTATGATAATATTTCAGAGTGCACTGTTGGGCCGTCCATTTCAAAAAACGCGTGAAAAGCGGGGATCTTTGAGAAAGAATAGGTACCTTTTATCTTAGCATCAGGAGACGGCCATCTTTTTGGAATTCACTTATTTTCACTAGGTCAACACTATACTCGAATATCAGCCATAAACGTGAGAGTTGAGATTTGCTCAATTTTTTTGATAACCTATTTTGCTTCAGTTTTAGTCCCTTTCTCAAAAACTAGTACATGGTTCTGAAAGTTAAAAATACCATTCGATCGCAATCTTTTTGTGCATCTTTTGAAGTATAAGCCATTGCGTATGTCTTATTGGGTGCGGAGAAAGTCTACAAAGTGTAAAGGGGAAAAGGGAAACGGAACGCTTCCCAGCATCGATTGCTCGTCGCCTCTCCTTTTACAGCTGTCTTTTCCTTCTGCATTTCTCGATTTGTAACCACGTTCCCCTATAATCTCCTCTAACAAAAAAACCACCAAAAATCCTAAAAATCCATCGTAGTTTTGCTCAGTCAAACATTCAAAGATCACAACGAAATTAACCAACAGTGTTGCATAATTTTGTGGTTGTTTTCTGAAACGTGGATGTCGTAGTAGTTACGGGTTGATCAATGATTTCAGCTCTTCTAATAGTCGATGTAACATTGTCTTCTGGAGTAACGGCCGTTATAGTCATTGTTGTTCCAGCTGTTGTGGTCTTTGCCTTCTCTGTTGTCCCGGAGGCAACAAAAGACGGCATCTCGGGGCTGTACTTTTGAAAAATTAATGTTCAATCAAATGGAATTTGCTTCTGAAGCTCTGAATGCAAGTCAGCGATCTGTTTAAGGAGGACACACCTTTGAAAAAGAGCAAATAGAAAAATATTAACATCAATATTTTTAGTGCTAAATGTGATTATGAAAACAACTTTGACTTTATTTTACAATTTCTAATTAATGTTTAAAAGCAAATGAAATGGAAGCCGTGAAATGGAAGCAAAATCACAAAGAGACCCAATAGGTAAAAATATGAAGAAAGGGATTAAAGAAGTGAAAAGAAAGTTTTGTAGTGGCTTCGATCGTAGTGCTGAATTGCGTTGTTTCCTCTCCAATTGTGGTCTGAGCACTTTCTGTTGATATCATTGGTGTTGTTGTTGTTGTTGTTGTTGGTGTTGTTGTTGATATAGTCATTGTTGTTGTTGTTGCTGTTGTTGTTGTTGCTGTTGCTGTTGTTGTTGTAGTCATTCCTATTTCTGTTGTTGTGGCAATGGTGGCGTTCGGCGATGCTGGGATCGGTCTCACGTAGGGCACAAAGGGTTCCATGTCGGAGACATATGCCTAGAAATTTCGAAGTTGCACTGTGGTCTTGGTCAAAACTTTCGGTGCATACTATTGGGTTGGCCGATAAGTAATGAGTCAATTTTAAACAGAAATATCTATTCAATAAAGCCATATAAATCAATCAAAATAGTTTTTATCTTTTACGATTCCTGTGCCCATTTTACTGGTAGAAGGCGAATTCCTCGTTCGTAAAAAATGTTTCGTTTTGAGTCAACTAGTTCTGTACCCACTTTTTTGGTATCTTTTTCATCTTCAAAGTGCCCTCCGACTAAGGCATTTTCCATTGTTTGAAGTCAATGGCAATCTGATAGAGCTTGATCTGGGGAATATGCTGTTTGAGGGAAAAGTTCCAAATCGAAGCTCTGGATTGTAGAGCCAGCCAGTTTAGCAGTGTGTAGGCGAGCATTGTCATGCTGCAAAATGACCTTTTTCAGATCTGGTCTTTTTGTCTCAAGGACTTTAGCCCGATTCTGAAGTTGATTACTGTATAGTTGAGAGTTAAGTATTTGCTTGCTATCCTATAACTTCTAGCACCCTATAACTCAGTATCCAATAACTCCCAATAACAACCTCAACCGATCTCTCGGGGCGATCGCTTTCGATCAAAGATTTCCCCGGTTTTTAAACTTGTCACAACCTCAATCAAATCTAGTCTTGGAGAGGGAGTCATACTTTTGTATACTTTTGTTCTGTGGTGTAGGGCTAGGCTTGAAGATGAGCATTTATCGAACCCATTTAGCATAACATGCTGAATATACACAATTACTTATTGACTCATTACTTAATGGCCAACCCAAAAGGTTGATGCAAAAGAAATTTCGGTCGGTATAAAATGTTCTATTTTTTAATCCGGAAATCTTATTTGGTTTTCTTTTGTTTATTTGTACTCTTGGATATTTACTTTATTTTTATTTTTCTGAGTCAGGGCTTTCACTTTTTAATTTATATTTGCTTTAGATCATGGTGGATCAAAAGTATGTTGTGCGCGCGTTTCTTCTCTACGATTTCAAGATGGGCAATAACGCTGCTAAATCACATCGAAATCACATCGTACTCCGCTTTTGGAGAAGAAGTTATGACGGAAAGATCCTGCCAGCTATGGTTTGCCCGAAGGTATTGAATCGTTTGAAGACGAACCAGATGGGCATTGCTCGGCAGCGATAATAATGAATGGAACAACTTATTCAAGCCGATCCAATGTAGAAAACACGAGAGCTTGCCAAACATTTCCAATGTTGTTTACATCTCTAGAGGGTTGATCAAATTTTGTGACAAAAAGTTTTAAATAATTGTTTTAAATGACCTCGACTGTCAATTTTCTCGGTGACAATGCGCCAGATTACACAACGAAAGTTTGTCGCATGGATTTAGAGGAATTAGGATGAAAGATCTTATCGCATGCGCCAGATAGTCCAGACTCATCACCGTCTGATTTTCAAATCTTCAGATCGTTGCAAATTTTCCTTGCAAATTGCCAGTTTAAGAATGCGCAAGAGGTCGAGATTTGGATGACGGACTACTTTCAATCACAGAATCAAGAGTTCTTCGATAAGGAGATCCGCAATCTCAAGCTATGTTGTAGGGATGTTATGGATAACGATGATGCCTATCTTTTGGAATTAACTGCTACCTAAAGGAATTTTGATTAAATTTAATGTTTATAAAAAACCGAAATTTCTTTTGGATTAACCTAGTAATTCCGTATTACCTCAATGGATTTGAGGGCCGTCTTGGTGTCCTTGTTGCACAAGTCATCGGCGCAAATGTAGTGGGTGGCTGTGAATTTCATGACGCCCACCTTGAAATGAGATAATTTGCAAGAGAAACTTTGTGATATTCAAATTTTCTGTACTGTTCTCTATTCAAGAGTCACCTCAATCCGTCCATATGCGAGCGTAAAATCTTGTGAAAGACAGCCCCGTCGAACCAGTTTCTAAACAAAAATTGGTGCTTTACCGTTATGCCTCTCCATTTTTTTTTCCTATTCATCAATATATCTCCCCAATCTACTTTTGACTTAATCTAGAAGTACAATCTTATGAACGTTTACAAGGAGCATTCATTCAAGGTTTGCATACAAGAATGAATGACTCTAATCTTTGTGCGCCTATTTGTGCGCCTATTTTTGTAAAGGCCGATTTCATTCCTTGGTGAATGAAAGGCTAAATTCAATATAATTCTAATCAGTTGATGGGTATGAAATTGGATGTTCACAATTTTATTTTAGCCCTCTACACCTTTTTCCAAGATAGTTATATTGGTCAATGTCGTTATGTTCTACCTCTATGTCCTATTGAAAATTCATTTGACTCAATATTAGCCACTCAATGCCCTTAGCCATTCCATGCCATTCTGTCAACCACCGCATTGCCACGGGCGGGGTGTAGCGTAGTCGTAACGTTGATTAAGGCTTAGCGCTTTTTTAAACTACAATGTGTGCTTATAGCTCAAAAGCTGACCTCTCAAAAGCCGACTTTTCTCTGGAATTTTCGTTACTGAGGATGTGTTTTTACAAATTCTGGCGGAGGGCGCAGCACTTATTAGAGGCAGTACGCTATTCCAATATTGCTTCCTTTGGGTAAAACTCACATTTGGGTGTTCTGCCGGCCCATCGGTTGCATAAAAACACAAGTGCCCAAGGCAGGTGTCAGCTGAAAGTTAGCAAGGACATAAAATGACATGCTTTTTTATGTGACTTTTCTCGTGCTCATGTTATTACCCACCATTTGACAAGCCAACATAACACTTTGTCGTGTGATTCACGGCGATATTGCCGACGTTTTTCTTGGGATTGGTGCACATTGACTGAATTTTGTAAGTGAGTTGTGAAAAAAACAAACAAGACTTACGTAGTTGCACGCAAAGTCGTAGTACCTGCGCTCAACTTCGTACTGATATGAAACGAAGAGGCCAAAGTAGAAACTAAAAGTTAATGCATTGATTGAGAGGGAAAATTTACCAAAATAGCTTGACCCTTTTTTAAAATCAAACATTGAATAAACTCTAAGCAAACTGACGGTGGAAAAGTTGCATTAGCGATTTGAATTCGATAGAACTGATCGAGATCCAGCTTTCCACCATCCACAATGAAAGTTCCTTTCAACGGTGGCTTTTTAGTTTTCAACTAAACATTCCCTTTTCAAAACATTTGAAGGTACTGTAAAAACTCTAATAGAAGCCTCAGAACTTCTATTTTTCAACCCGCTTCCAAAGGAGGCTTCTACAGTCATGTGCAAAAGTCTTTTAACACAAGACGAAATTAAGCTATAATCAATATTTTCTCGGTCCTCCTTTTGACAAAGTACTTCTTTAATACGAGTAGGCATCGATGTAATTAATTCATCAAGAAATCCAGGTCCAATCGTCTTACAAATTTCTTATCTTCTTACAAAGTGCAAAATTTGAGCCAAACCGAAAATTCGCATTTTTGACTTGCACCGAACCGAATCAAAGATCGCACGGAAAAACAAGTGTAGTTATTTTCGAGAAGTTTTAATGTTGTTGTAGTGGTAGACGCCAAAACCATATAAATCCAAAGACATATAAATTCAAAGACATCCAAAGCCACGTCTTTTTTTACATTTGATTGTAATCACCTGTATTTCCATGTTAACTCGACAAGTTGTGTCCGGTCTCGGAGTTCTGATGGTCGGTGTGATCAACACGTCGGCTTCGTGACCGTTGAAGACAAAATCACTCTGAAAAGCGGATAACAGCCATTGCTTTTGTTCATCAAACAAGTTAAGATGTAGAATCTTAACTTGTTTGGTGAACAAAAGCAATGGCTGTTAGCAAAAAGCAAAAAGCAAGGCATTTACCGAATAGGCGTAGCAAGTGACATTTGGTGGCATATCGGTTGGAAGAGTTTTCTCTCCAATTTCGATCTCAACCTGGACATCGGAAAGCTTTTTCACCACCGGATTCGGGAGATTACAATTTGTTTCACTGAAACAACACAGTCAGTACAGTTATTTCAAAAGCTCACTTGCAGACACAGAAATAGCCCCATGGCGTTTTCTCTCCCTCATAGATGAAAGCTTGTGAGTCATACGTGCATCCGTACGTCAACGGAAAATACTAAAACAATTGTTGAGTTATTTTTTTACGTTTAAACACCGTGTAGCCGCTGATGCAACCTCGCCGAGAAAAAAACGACGAGTCTGCAGCACCGGAAACGAAGCACAGATCGGCGTTAGTACAAGAGGAGTCAGCACTAAATCGAGTTTGATCTGTTTTAGAATCTTTAACAATTAGTGCCATAATTTTTAGAAAGATTAAGATTTAAACGGAGAGTTGATTTCGATAAATAAGGGTGTTCCAAAAAAAGTGGTCAATTTTGTTACCATCAAAAATTTCAGAAAACGCGGAAAATAGGCTCTTTATCCATTAGTGCCATAATTTAAAAAAGACTTTTATCTTAGCATCAGGAGACGGCCATCTTTTTGGAATTCACTTATTTTTACTAGTCCAACATTATACTCGAATATCAACCATAAACACGAAAGTTGAGATTTGGTCAATTTTTTTCGATGACCGATTTTGATGAGTTTCGCTCGGAAAACCACTTTCGAATTTCTCGTAGACTATAGTGCAAAAATGTTAGCTTTATTCGAGAACTACCAAAAAGTTTTATATTTACTCTCTGCGTGTCAATTCCGAATTAGAATTCTCGTGATATTTTTCACACAAATCTAAAAAGAACTATATCAAAAGAGCGCCGTAATCAAAAGAGTTCAAAAGAGCGCGGCTAGATTTTCACGCTCCAATTTTTTTTTTTTTTCTGGATGTTTTTGCTGGTTTTTTATGTTTATTTACATTTCTTTTTTATTTTTAGGTGAAAGAACCAAGGGGAATTCGAACTGGCCATTGGTTTTGGCAGAAAACGACCGCCAAGTCCCGGTATACTCATTTAAAAAAGAAAGCAATCTCAAAAGAAATATTTTTTGTTGTTTGTTTTCATTTATTGGCTAAGTTTTTAATTTTAGGTAAAGAAACTAATCTACAATCGCCTCCCATTTGCTCTTTTCATTGGACAAGGAAGTTGGCTATCAGAAATGGCGCCTGAGGAAGATCGCATATTGAACATCTTAAATCTTCGTCATTTTACATTGATTTTAAATGTTGTTATCATTTTTGTTATTCTATTAAATTGTTAAAAGAATTCATTTTAAATATTTGGAACCAAAATAGGAGTTTTAAAGAAAAAAAAAGAAAAAAAGATTAAAACGCAGTTAGCGGTTGGATTTAATAAGACTTAAGGCTTGGCTTGGCTTGGCGCTCTCTTAAGCGGCGCTCTCTTAAGCGGCGCTCTCTTAAGCGGCGCTCTCTTAAGCGGCGCTCTCTTAAGCGGCGCTCTCTTAAGCGGCGCTCTCTTAAGCGGCGCTCTCTTAAGCGGCGCTCTCTTAAGCGGCGCTCTCTTAAGCGGCGCTCTCTTAAGCGGCGCTCTCTTAAGCGGCGCTCTCTTAAGCGGCGCTCTCTTAAGCGGCGCTCTCTTAAGCGGCGCTCTCTTAAGCGGCGCTCTCTTAAGCGGCGCTCTCTTAAGCGGCGCTCTCTTAAGCGGCGCTCTTTTGATATAGTCCCAACTAAACACTTTCAGCTGAATATTAGATGCAAATTTGGGATTGAATGCAAATTAATGGCAAATGCAAATCACAAGACACTAATGCAAGCCAACAATATCTTTTTTTAGCAGTTTCCTTCTTTATCTTTTTTCTCGCTCTTCGATTTCATCTCCTTCAATCACCCCTTTTTGATTGTGTGGCCCATGAGACAAAACCATTTTTGACGCTAGGATTTCCTATGAAAAGTCAACAGAAAAAATTTTCATAACGACAAAGTTGGCCACTTTTTTATGGAACACCCTGCATGATTTTTGTAATACATCGATACAGAAATTCTTTTCACAAAAGAACGAATCACTCACATAACCGCTTCTGATCTCCAATTGAAGTTTTGTGCACAGGTCAACTGTCCGAGTCCGATAACCGGCTTTAGAAGTAGCAAAAAGAAATTTGGTGAAAACAAAATTCCAAAGCCTCTTTGGAAAAACATCAAGTAAATCAATATCAGATTGTCATAGCCATTTTTTCAGCTTTTCTTCTATATTGGCGCAATTACCGCTCTTGAAATAGTCATCAAAAAGGAAAGCCCGTTTTTTTATGGCCCATAATTTTCGATTTCTCTTTTCTTTAAAGTTCAGTAATGTGAGGTCGCTAAACGAAAAAATGTTCTAAGAAAAAATCCAAGCAATCAGCTTTGGAACAATTAAGAGCAATTTTTTTTTGCCAGGGGCGAGCTGAAGTTTATTGCTGATGATCTGGAATTTTTATTTTAGTTAGTAAGTTAGCTAAAGTATGTTAGTGTTAATAGAAAAAGTAAGTAAAAATAGTAAAATAAGTTAGTAATAAAAAAATAAGTAAATAAGCTTAAATGAGCGATTAAATGTATTGAGAATTATGCATTCTAGTAGTGTTTCGGTTGTGTAGGAAAAAACCGTTGTTTAGTTGACAATCAGCTTTTTATGATAGTCAGCAATCCTGTAAATCTTAGTAAATGCACTTTAGCCCATCGTGAAGTTATTATTGGGTTGGTGAATTGAAAACTGCGGGACTTTGAACTAAAATTTATTGAACATAAAACCATGAATTCATTCCAAATAATTTCCATTATTATTGACGACTTCTGCCCATTTTACAGGCAATTTGCGGATTCCTCTTTCGTGGTAGGATTTTGGTTTGTGTGTGAGACAAGTGTGAGACTCAAAAATGGAGGACTAGAGATGGAGACTGGAGATGTCCCAGTTTGAGCACTTTCTTCAAAAGAAACCCATTTTGGTGTCAATAGAAAAGTTGTAGAGAATCAAAAATTAGGCTTATAGCCAAATTTCCAAAAAGATACACCAAAAATAATTTCCAAAAATAATTTCGCTTAAAATGCAAGTTTTGTGAAATTCCTAAATTCGTAATTCGTAAATTTGGCATTTCTTGAAAGCCAGTTTTTGAAGCGTTCTGAAAATTTGGATATAAGCTTAATTTTTGATTCTCTACAACTTTTCCATTGTCACCAAAATGGGTTTCTTTTGAAGAAAGTGCTCAAACTGTCACATATGACAATAGCCGGCAGTTTTCAATTCACCAACCCAATAATTGGCAATCTGCCAACTTTTTTATGGGCTATTATCAAAATCTATTCATGTAGCATTTCGTTTTTTTTGCTGAAATCCAATAAAACTTTTTTTAACATTTATTTACGCACAAATTTACACGCACAAATTATTTACGCACAGGTCTCAATTTGTGTGATGAAACTGGTCAACTTTGTCAGATGAAACTGGCAATGACATCGAGACATCAGTGATGATTTTAGAGTAGAGAGGTGGTGGAGGCTAGATTAAGTTGTTGTTAAGATTCAAATCAAACTTCAAATATTCGGAACCTAGTCAAAATAGCGCCACCAAAACAGCGTCCATACAAAAACAGCGCCAAATTGAAAAAGACTGCGATTAGATTTTTCAACCCCAATGTTTTTGTACTTCTCATAACAACTTGTAACTTTTGTTATTTTTCAAACATTTTTAAGCACCTTGCGACAAACCGCATTTGACAAGCAGATAAGCAGCATTTGACAAACCGACAGATTATTTCATCATCAAAATCAGGTTTTATGGCCCATTTCAAATAAACAATGCGGCACACTTTGTTTTTCATTGTTTTCTCTTGTTTGTACTGTTCTTGGTACTTAATTTTGTGTTTTTTAGGGAAAAGAAGGTCACCTAAAGGAATAGAACACTCGTTGCGAGTGATTCGGCGTGGCTAGCGACAATCACAGGTACCTTTTACACAGTATTGTTTACGAAGAAAGTCTACTTGTTTAAGGTAATAACTTTGTTTCTTTGATCTAAAATAAATGTAATAGAATAGATTAAGCTAGTTTTTACTCTTTTCTGCAAAATTTTTGTTTCTCAACATCTTTTTTCATTTAGGGATGTTGCTATCTCGGAAAGATGGAGTACTACTTTATGATGAAGACAGACGCGAATATCGGATCTTTGGATCTATCGGTAAAGTCCAGTCAATCATTTAAAATCTTTATGTTGTTACATTCATAGGTGTTAACTCCGTTGTTTCATTTTTTCATTTCGCTAATGGAATAAACAAATTTTCTTGTTCATTTTACTTGAGAATGCACAAAAAAACTAAAGCTTTTATCGAAAACTCCAAAAGAGCGTTGGTCTACATTAAAATCTTTACATTTTGTTTTTGTTTTTGATGTTTTTGTATGGGCGCTGTATTGAACGGCGCTGTTTTGGCGGCGCTATTTTGGCTAGGTCCCAACTATTCATTCATCTAAACCTCGGAATAGATCTCCAGTGGCGACCTCTCGGTGTCACTTGATTGTTGATTGGTGGGTGGATGATCTTCTCCTCCAATCGTGGCTTTCATTGTCGTTTCGAGCTCGAGTTGACGATCTCTGAATCAAATTTAACAAAAGTTTGCAAATCACAATATTTTGATAATTTCAACGTTAGGATTACAAAAGGCGGTCACTTTCTTTGGATTTCACCTGTCCCCTCCCTTTCGCCGAAAGCTTTACAGCTTTGTTTTAAAGTTTTGCGCATGTTTTTGAGTAGTCGCTTAAAGAATCTCTCCTACATAAAATCAAAGAGTTCATAGCTAATATGAACATGAACATTGAACATGAAAGCTTGAACCGCTTGAACATGAAAGCTGTAGAAAGTCGGATTGCAACTCACACGGCATATCTCCAGAAAGTATTGATGGTAATGAGCTGCCATATGTACAGAATGGCAACGAACAAAGCGCTGATCATCAGTGAAGAGCCTGAAATGAGAAATGATAGAAATAGTAGGGCTGACAATACAGGGTGACAAATAATTACGGGCGCACCCTTTTGGTAATATGGTAGCCAAAGGCCTAATTGAATTCAAAAGTAGCAAGTGTTATATAGAGAATTGAAGCCCTGAATCTTGACTATATTTATCTACCGCGAAACTTACAAATTATAAAACTCGATTCAACTACCAAGCTCGCAAATGAGCTTTAGCCGGCCTTTCTTCGGACCGCTTCCATTTTTGACGGATTTTTATTTTATAATTTGCAAGTTTCGCGGTAGATAGATGTTGCCAAAATTCAGCACTTCAATCCTCTATTTTATAGAGTACTTTTGTACTTTTGAATTAAATTGGGCCTTTGAAAACTAGATTACCAAAAGGATGCGCTCATAATTATTCGTCACCTTGTATGTTGCCAATAATCAACAACACTCACCGTCATCCATTGCAATTCCATATTCTGATCGAAGAGTATTTCGAATATAATCCAAACGATCACTGCTGCCGTTGCTATAATGGAATTTTTCTTAAAGCTTCATGACAAAGATATTTTTGAGCTTTAGAAATAGTTTACTCGGTTGATGCAAAAGAAAATTTCGCCTTTTTTTACAAAATTTACAATACAAAACATTAAAATTTAATCAAAATTCCTTTAGGCAACAATTTATTCCAAACAATAAGCACCATCGTTATCTATAACATCGCCCCAAAATCGCTTTAGATTGCGGATCCTCTTATCGAAGAACTTTTGATTCTGTGATTGAAAGTAGTCATCCAAATCTCGACCTCTTGCGCATTCTTAAACTGGCAATTCGCTAGGAAAATTTGCAACGATCTGGAGAGGTGAAAATCAGACGGTGATGAGTCTAGACTATATGGCGCATGCGATAAGATCTTCCATCCTAATTCCCCTAACTCCATACAACAAGCTTTCGTTGTGCTTTCACGCGTTGTCACGCAGAAAATTGACAGTCGAGGAATTTAAACCCTTTTGACGCAAAATTTGATCAACCTTCTTGAGCTGTTGAATAAAACAAGGTGAATCAACTGTTTTTCCCGGCTCTAATAATTCGAAATAAACAAGTCCGTTGATCTTCCACCAGCAAGACAACATTACTTTGTGCCCATGATAATCCGGCTTCGACCTTAGCTTCGACAATTCGACATTTGACCCTTGCTGAGTTATTGTCTTTTTCGATGATTGTTATCGAAGTGAGTCCACTTCTCGTCCATCGTCAAGATATTCTCAAAAAAAGTGCTTCTTTTCGACTTGAGAAGCAAGATATGGCTGATCGAAACGCGACTCGCCCATAATCTAAAGCAAATATCAATTAAAAAGTGAAAGCTCTGACTTAGAAAAGCGTAAAAATTAAAGTAAATATTCAAGAGTACAAATATACAAAAGAAAATCAAGAGTACAACTAAAAAAAAAGGAAATTAAACAAGATTTTCAGATTTTAAAAAATAGAACATTTTATATCGAGCGAAATTTCTTTTGCATAGTATGAGAGCGCATCTAATCGAAAAACGAGAAAGAACTTTTTCAGCAGAAGCCTAAGAATATTCCTAAACATTTGATAGAGCTCAATTGCCAATGCATTTTGTCGACAAATAGAACATCAATTTAATGATGCAAGAAATTAAAGGAAAAAAAAACCAGTCCTATACACCGATAACTCTTTCAGTTAAGCTTCAGAACTAATCAGTTAACTCACATCAAAGTCACTCCAAGCACGGTGAATGTGGCACCGCTCAACAAGATTCCAAATGGAAAGTAGCATGCCTGAAAGAGTTATCTTTTTTGAAATGACCATTTTTATATTGGGTTGGTGAATTGAAAACTGCGGGCCATTGTCATATGTGACAGTTTGAGCACTTTCTTCAAAAGAAACCCATTCTGGTGACAATGGAAAAGTTGTAGAGAATAAAAAATTAAGCTTATATCCGAATTTTCAGAACGATTCAAAAACTGGTTTTCAAGAAATGCCAAATTTACGAATTTTCACAAAACTTGCATTTTAAGCGAAACTACTAAGTGTATCTTTTTGGAAATTTGGCCATAAGCCTAATTTTTCATTCTCTACAACTTTTCTATTGACACCAAAATGGGTTTCTTTTGAAGAAAGTGCTCAAACTGGGAGATCTCCAGTCCTCCATTTTTGAGTCTCACACTTGTCTCACACACAAACCAAAAATCCTACTACGAAAGAGGAATCCGCAAATTGCCTGTAAAATGGGCAGAAATCGTCAATAATAATGGAAATTATTTGGAATGAATTCATGGTTTTATGTTGAATAAATTTTAGTTCAAAGTCCCACAGTTTTCAATTCATCAGCCCGATACCTACCGCAAAGAGAAAATAGAGTTGGATGAAGAAGGGCTTCGGATTGTAACTTGCAAAGATCGCCCACATCGGGGCCAACATGTTGATGAGCAGCATTAATAACTGAATTTCGAAAATAATATCATTTTTAACAGTATTTTTTCCATCTACAAGGTTGTCCAGGATCACAGGGACTAAAGAATTTGAGGATTTGAAGAACTTGAGGATTTAAAGACCACCTTACAATAAAATGACACCGAAACAACAAAAATTTATTTTAATACAATAATTTAACATAAAAGTTTACTTTTTTTTTCAAAAAGATCTCCCCTGGCGGCAACGCAGGCAACACAGGCAACACAGGCAACACAGGCAATAGATGCAATACAGACAACACGTGGAGGCGTTTTGGGAACGCATCCACGGTGGCGAGAAGGTTGGGCGTGTTCAGCTCGTCCCAAGCTTTCTGAAGGGTTTTCTTCAAAGAGTCGACTCTTGGATGGGGTTTCGAGCATGCTTTTTCTTCTAATACACTCCATACCGAATAATCGAAAGGATTGAGGTCCGGGCTTGTTGGTGGTCACTGGTTAAAATCGATACCGATGATCGATACCATTGAAGCGATGCAAAAGTTGGTTCGAACGATCCTCGCGTTTCTTTTTGCTGGCTGATCTAAGAAATTGGCTTTTCGAAAATGGATAAGCTTTCATTCCAAGCCGATTTTTGAAAATACGGTCCATAGAAGTTCGAGAAATTTCCATAATCTTTGCCATCCTGGTCTGCGAACGAGTGGCTTTCGAGCGGAACGAGTGGCAACGACTGGCTCGAACCTTCTTGATATTAGCCTTGGTGACGACAGTCGCTTTATCACCACGTCTGGGACGTGGGACACGTCAGAATTTGTTCCTAACTCTTGAAAGCGTTTGATCGCGTTGTAAACAAGTTGTAAACAAGTTTGCGTATCATCGATCGCTTAGAGATATCCATCGCCAGAACGTCACGCTTGTGTAGGTCGATGATCGCATTTCAGTACACTCACTTCTTCTAAAAAGGCTTTTTTTTCAGAAAAAATAGTAAGTAAATAGTTAAATAAATAAAATAAACCAAAAGAAAGACAAAACAATATTAAATTGTAAGCAAAAATATGCAATATCAACATATGCAATATCAAAAATACCTCTAGTCCCCGTAATCCTGGACAACCATTTAGACTCACCTGAACCTGTGCGCGATCCGACGCTTTAAAAGGATAATTTCCCTGGGCGATAGTCGCTAGAATTGGCTCATTTAGGGGTCCGACGACGAGTTGGAAGAATAAAAGCGAGAAGGTGACGGGTTGAAGGAAGTGCAGCCAGCGGAAGGCTGCCTGCAGAAATTAGTCAATTAAATATTCTTCTTCTCAACTCACAACACACGACATCTTCTTGAAGCAGCTCTGGTAGTTCTCTTCGCGAAGGGGCAACGGAAAGTTTGGCTCTCTTGGTCGCCACAGCCATGTGGGGACTTCTTTAGCTTCTCCGATTTTCCTCCTCCTCGATTCCTGATTTGCAGTCAAGCTAGTCGGCCCGTCAATTTCGATTTGTCGATCTCTGCCAAAAGAATGATTCAGATTTACGTGTTGGGATTCTATTGTTTGTCAGAGCTTTTTAAATTCTTTGAAACTCAGCCCGTGCTATTTCTCTGTTCATCAACAACTACCAATTCTACAAAACTTATCTTTTTTTCATTTCAACTGGTAACTTCTTGTGTAACTAAGGTTCTTGTTTTCATTGGTGACAGAGATTCTTGGTACTTGTGACTCGTTTGCCCGTCACTTTGCATTTAAAAGCTATTTTCATGAATGATGCTAGTTTGCCATTCTTTCCATGTGAGGTTTTCCTTTTAGCACTAACTATGCAAATCTATAAGAGCCACAAGTCCCAGATTTTCATTTCGGCAAGGCAAACTCTCCTCACCTGACAAAGTAGCAATAGGAGAGAGTTACAAGAAATTGCCAAGCGAACATCAAGAATACAAAGGCTGTGGCCACCATCAAAATAATCCCTGAAACCTCTTGATTAACATGAAATCTCCTCGTTTTTCCTACAATCATAGCGGTAATCTAAATAGATTCCCAGCGCCTCTCGAGAGTCCTTTCGAACATTCGACAAGGCGATTCCGTTGTCTATGCTAAATTATTTTTTACTTAAAATCTTTGCAGATCTTTGCAGATTCTTTTATTTGCATTTTCTGATAGGATCAACTGGCTTGAGATTAACTGAGATCAACTGTCTTACAACTCACATGACTGATATTCCGATTTGGAAGAAAAACAACAAGCAGGCCACCATTCCAATGCCCAGATAGGGTGCCTAAAAGAATGAATGAATTATTATCAACGGTTCTTTACAAGATTTGCATCTAATTACCCCGACGAGGAAGTAGATCTGTGAGAAGAAAGGCTTCTGCTGATAGCTCGACAGGACGGCCCACATCGAGATCATCAAGTTTCCACCAAGGAGCCATAACTGAATATTTAAATGCGAGTTTTCGCCGGGTTTATGTCGAAAAAAAACAACGCAATCTATTCGATGCTTCAAATATTTCATATAATAAATTTTTGAGCCATTTAACGTTGGTCTAACAAGAGAAGATCACTAGGCTGAGGTGGCCAAATGACATGGGCCGTATACTATACGACGCAAAATTTTACGCTGATTTCGATGCTGCTATCCGTTTTTGTAAAATGATTCTGAAATGCGAGGAATCTAGCAAACAAGTTTGCGGTTAAATTAGAGGTGGAAAATCCTATACAAGGCTTCCTTCACTGTCCCGGAAATGTGTGCTTGTGGTGTAGTGGATAAGAGTCTTGCTTCCGAAACAAGCTATCAATTTTTTGCTCGGGTTTGATCCCTTCCTTTTGTTTTCATTTTGTTTTGATGTTTAATCGCTCGAATTTGCTCGATTTTAACTTTACAATAAGACATCTTTCATTTCATTCATTCACTTTATAGCTTGCTGCCACGTGTGTTAATCATTTTGTTTGTTATTAACTAAAAGATGTCATAATACTTGTTGTAAAGTTAAAATAGAGCAAATTCTGCGTCGTATGGTTTATGGCTCATATCATTTGGCCACCTCAGCCTTGTGACCTTCCCTTGTAAGTTATAGAACCAAATCAGCTACAGTTAGATGTGCTTCGAAATTCAAACTTGTCTACAGGTTCTCTCATAAGTGTTTCCGGTAAATGGCAAATCGGTGACAAGCGTGAAGAACAAGGCAGCGACAATCAATGGTTGGATGATGTTTGTCCAGCGAAATGCTTGCTAAATTGACAAGTTTCTCGGTCTCTTTCTGGTACTCTTGGCTCTAACAATAAATTGATCATCAAATGAAATCAAAATCCCGACTCCTCGGATCTTAAATAGAAAAGGTTGATCCTTTTTGTTGTTTAAAAGGCAAATTAGGTAGCTGCGTTCGCCATTTTCAAAATTTTTGGCATTTGTTGTCTATAAAAGAAGAAATTTTGGGGTTTTTTTGCCATTTGAAAGGTGTATCCTAAAATCTTTCATACTATCACACAACAATAAAACCAAAAAATTCTTAGATGTCGGTAAATCTAATAACGGCAGATTTTTGAAAACTCACAATACAAGGCAATCGCTTGCCACAACGTCGATAATTCTCCTCAAGTACGGGCAAGTTGGGCTGATTCTTTGGAAGCCACAGCCAGGTGGGAATTTCGATCGCCATGCGACTGAAATTGAACTAAATGAACTAAAATAAGAAAATAGACTTTGAATATAGAAATCAGCAACAACAATCACGAAAAGTTTCATTCTTTAAGCTTTCACAAAATTTATACCGTCGATGAAGGATGTGGCAATTGTGAGTGTTCTTTAGATGTTTACCAGCTGCGCTGAGCATCCGACAAGCAGCTGCTTTGCTTAAATTTGCATTAAATTCCCATCTTAAATGCAAATTTGGTGTGAAATGCAAATCAGGCGGCCGTTGTAAATTTTAAAAGTCGAATAACTTGGCGGGAAATGACATTTTTGCTTTGGATTTGGAATCAAATACAGGAAAGCCTTTTTTGGGCAAAGGTGATGCTAGCGGACTGTTCTAGGTTGCTAGAGTTCAGCTTCTATAAAATTTCTAGAAAATGATTAAAAACCTTTTAAAAACATGACACCCTACTGCGAAATAATGTTTTAATCCAAATCAGATATCCGATTTGGATTGAAATCCAAATCGGATACGACATATATATATTAGATATTGGAGAGAAGAAAAGAGTGAAAACGATGTTGTTTACGAGAAAGAAGACTGAGATCACCGATCAATGCCAAGCACACGTTCCAAAAAAAACGAAAAGAAAAGAGAAATAGCGAAATAGAGAAATAGAAAGCGCGTAAATTCGACCAAACTCGTTTTTAAATAAAAAAAAATTCGCGGAATGGTCGTTTCAACGAATTGTGAAAGAGTTTTTTAAAATGATTTTAAAAATACCAGCTCGGAAGTAAATTTAATCAAAATGATGACGTCATTTAAGCTCAGGGGCACTTTATTTCCTTCAAAACCACTTTTTCTGGGGTAGTTTTATGCGTAGATTTCGAAAAACATAAGGAGAGCTTGGGAAAAAGCGTTTCGAGCCGAGTTCGGGGCTCCAAAGTGCGCGTTCTATACAGTGTGATGAGAGGGCAACACCTAGGGTCTTAAGAGGTCTAAAAATGATCTCTCAAAACATTTTTTGATGCCAAAAACTCTACTTCTGGCATAATATAACCTACTGATTACGTTTCTGATCAAATTAGAGCAAAACAAAAAAAATATTTTTCCAGATTTTGACCATGTGATCCCCACATGAGTCAAAATCAGTCAAAATCTCAAAAAATATATTTTTTCAATTTCTTTTGCCCTCTACCAGTCAATTTAGGTTAGAAAATGAATATTTAGTGGCTAAAAATGGTTTTGCCTCTAGTTTTGACCTAGAAAAGTGTCCCATTAGTCGATAGCTGTCGATAGTTGTGATTGTCATTGTCCCAATAGCACAGTATAGAAGCGCGCATTTTGGAGCCCCGAAACTCGGCTTAAAACGCATTTTCCCAAGCTCTCGTTATGTTTTTCGAAATCTACGTATAAAACTACCCCAGAAAAAGTGGTTTTGAAGGAAAAAAAGTGTTCCCTAGCCTTCATAGCGCCAAAACGATTTTCCAAATCCTATGAAGACCTTGAACGATGTTTGGTCAAATTTTTAAAGTTATTACTCAAAAATGAAGAAAAACACAAAGGTTAAGCTGATAAAAAGGCTAAAAAGATTTCATGAAGGCCCAAGGTTACCCTGGTAACTCGATTTCGTCTACGGCTTCAGCTATTTTTTCAGCTTCTCTCCATAAAATGTTTCTCTTCGAAAATAAATAGTTTCTGATTTATTAATTACATTTTTCTTTTATTTATTTATTAATTCCTTCAAAAACTTTGAAATGCTAAAACGAGCGTTATTTGTTTTGTTCTTTTATTTCATTTTTCTCGCAAAAGCTGATGACGAAGTGAAAATTGACAATTCATCAGGTGATACAGGCTGAAATGCAGTAGAAATGGGAAATTTCAGGTAAACCTGCCCAGATTAAAGAGCAGCAAATGGTTTATTCAAAAGACGAAGCACACGACGAGAGAATCAGATATTTTCTCTGTGGAGCAGCATTTTCTTCTATTGTCTTCATTGCATTTTGCTGTGGAAGAAATTGCCCGAAATTGGAAGGATCAACCGGCACAGACGAGTATCAACCGGCATAGCGAGTATCAACCGGCATCATGACTCTACTTGATGATTATTAACATTCATATCGCTCATATCATTCATAATTCAATTACCCAAAGTTGCAGAGTTTACCCCACCCTTTTTGATGACTGGATTTTTCGGGGGCGCAAAGATAAGTAGTCAGAATCGTCAAAAATCGTTTAGTTGACGACTTTTTCGATGAAAAGTTAGCATTAATTTTTTTGCTCAAATGAAACACTAAGCATTTATGCATTTTCATTTAAATTTTCAGCCAAATCCGTTGAGCCGTTTTCTCTAAATGTTTCTAATTTGTCGAAAAGTCTCTCAAATGAGCAAATACCCTTATTTTAATGCATTTCTTCAAACAAAAATTCTGAAAAAACGGATTTGGTTGAAAATTTGCTGACATATGCAAAAAGATTTGTTCAAAAGTTCGAGTAAAAAATATTTTCAAATCGATTCCACAAAATAGGTACAGTGCCGGACAAAAATCTATGAAGTTCCGGATTTTTCCCCGGTTTGAAGCACTATAACTCGAGAACTATACATTGGAGTCTATAAGAGTTATAGTGATTCTGAAAGCTTGAAACGAGATCTATAAGAGGGTTTATTTGATTTTCTGATTCGCTTTCATTTTACACCGATTTCAAGGCGCGCAAAATAGGGTGTAAAAAATTCACTTTTTTAACACGCTATTTCCTATAGATTCCGTGCTCCAATCGTCCTGAAACCATTTTTTTGGAAAGAACGTCAAAAATTACCCCTAGAGGTGTTTCTATTGAATAATTTTTTACTGTCTTAAAGTTTAAAAAAACCCACTTGACCGATATTGTCGCTTCACGTCGGTCAAGTGGGTTTTTTAAAAATCCGGAAAGGGTTAAAAAAAGTGAATTTTTTACACCCTGCGCGCCTTGAAATCGGTGAAAAATGAAAGCGAATCAGAAAATCAAATATGCCATCTGATAGATATCGTTGCAAGCTTTTAGAATCACTAAAACTCTTATGGACTCCAATGTATAGTTCTCGAGTTATAGTGCTTCAAAGCTGGGGAAAAATCCGGAACTTCATAGATTTTTGTCCAGTACTGTAGTTGTCGGCGAGTTTCGATTTTTGACGATTTTGACTACTTATCTTTGCGCCCCAGAAAAATCCCCAAAACAGAAGCTTTTCAAAATTGCTGAAAAGCCCAATGTAGAACACAGATTTACCTTTCTAATGGTACAAACCGGACTAATTTGAATCGCTTCGTTCTCTTGGCAAAAATATTCGCATTCAAAACCCGTCAACCTAATAGTTTTCAAAAAACTCTCCTTCTCTCTTATCAAACTATCTTTGTCACTCGGAAATAATCCTTTAATGTCTGACCCTTTGCACTTTCCCTCTTTAATACATTTCACCCAAATGGTTGTTGCTGATTTCTCAATTGGTTTCTCTTTGGTATTGGGTTGATGAATTGAAAACTGCGGGACTTTGAACTAAAATTTATTGAACATAAAACCATCAATTCATTCCAAGTAATTTCCATTATTATTGACGACTTCTGCCCATTTTACAGGCAATTTGCGGATTCCTCTTTCGTAGTAGGGTTTTGGTTTGTGTGTGAGACAAGTGTGAGACTCAAAAATGGAGGACTGGAGATCTCCCAGTTTGAGCACTTTCTTCAAAAGAAACCCATTTTGGTATCAATAGAAAAGTTGTAGAGAATGAAAAATTAGGCTTATGGCCAAATTTCCAAAAAGATACACTTAATAGTTTCGCTTAAAATGCAAGTTTTGGGAAAATTCTTAAATTTGGCATTTCTTGAAAACCAGTTTTTGTATCGTTCTGAAAATTTGGATATAAGCTTAATTTTTGATTCCCTACACCTTTTCCATTGACACCAAAATGGGTTTCTTTCGAGGAAAGTGCTCAAACTGTCACATATGACAATAGCCGGCAGTTTTCAATTCACCAACCCAATATTAACAGTGCTTGCAGTTTCTCCAAGTTTAGATAAAGTAAGAATAACAATAAATTGTCTAGTTAATGATCTGTGTTGATTTACTTAGAACTAATAATTGAAAACTTCAGCTAAAACTCGCGATATTTTATGCGATTCATTGCGACTCAAATTTTGAATCAGCTAACAAATAATTATGATAAACCAGATTGCCAATTTACATAAAAATGGAAAATATCTTGATGCTCCCCAAACTTTTAACATGAAAACAATCAAACCATAAACTTTATTGTCATAAATGTCTAGCTGAATATATTAATTTATGCAAACATTCATGATTGTCTATTTTTGGAGTTTATCGTCTGGTGAATGTGCATTTGAATGAGGGACAAGTGACCGTTGCACCAAAATCTTTCTTCAGCGACGGAAGTGGATTGGCTGAGATCTAAAAATAAATTTAAAAGTCTTTCGATTTAAAAAAAGCTTTCACTGCATCTGTTTTTATGCCACAATTACCTCAAATCTTTGGAATAAATTGGCGAGAAAGAGGAATAACTCCATTTTTGCTAGCCCTTCTCCCGGGCATTGTCTCTTTCCGATTGAAAATGGAATCAATTCTTCGACTTTCTCAACGAGCCATCCTCATTCAGAAATCGTTCTGGCTTGAATGAATGCGGTGATGGAAATAACTGAAACACTTTCAATTTATCTGGAAACTCATGCATACCGTAAAAACTCTATTAGATGCGCTCTCTACAGGGTTGTCCAGGATTACGGAGATTAAAAAACTTTGAGCATCGCGTAGTCTAAGTTTACTCTCAAACAAACGCTCAGATCCTGACACCAGTACGTTTGTTTCTGCGCGCTTAGGTATCAAATTAAAGTAGAGAGGATGGGTGATTTTTTGAGATATAACACATATTTTTAGCATTAACCAGCGCCTAGAAAAAAACTATTGAAAATCGGCGAAAATCGGCGAAAATTTGCTTCTGCGCGCTTAGGTATCAAATTTATGGTATTCTCTTTATATGCATTATGACTACGATGTGCGACTCAGATATCGGAAGAATTCATTAGTTAAATTGTCCAAATGCTTCAAAAAATTAAATCCGATTTTAACGAAATGTGAACGGCTTAGCTAACCGCTATCGCGATTTCGTGAAAATGTTGTTGAAAATTGAATTCGAAACGGATGACCCACCTTTTCATCGTACATGACAGTCGAAATTTGTGGGATCACTGTTGTTCCCCTAGGCAAATTGTAACCATTTATCGTTACATCTTCAGTGGTTTTTCGAAAGATATTCACAGGCAAAAGATTGGCTAGTCTTTGGATTTCCTGAAATCATTTTGTCGAAAAATTAATATAAAAAATAAAAAAATAAATGGTTTTTAGGATAATTAGCCTACATTGATTGTCGCATTCAAATAGGGGAGCTGCTTTTTGTCAGCTAGTGTAATCAATCGATCCGACTTGATGTTGAAATCCAATTCATCATGAATCTTTTTCTGTACTTCTAAATCATTCAACACATAGACCAATCCCCAGGAGAGAGTGTTTGATGTGGTTTCCATTCCTGAAAACTTTCTCTCTTGTTTACCGTTTTCTTAGTCAAATAAAAAGGTGCCGTATTCTTTCTAATAGTAGTACATCCACAACAGTTCACGGCGAGAGAGGCTATAATGCCACCAGACTTCTCTTAGAGCCAACTATTCGTTTCATTTAGAAGGTCTATACTCCAGCTAAATTCTTTGACCCCACATCAATGGATTCTGACCTTCGGCTTTCGAGATATTGGTTATTTAAAGTGACTCTGTGGGTGTACGACTATTAGAGAGTATACGGTATTAGCCTCATTGACTCTGAGCTCCGAATAAACCGACCAGCGTCCCAGAGATCCATTAAAACGTTTTCCAGTTGCTTCATGCTAAAACTCTCAAGTACAGTGTCAAAAAAACATACGGTAAAAGCTGTAATAGTAGCCCCCCCCCGCCCTATAGGAGCGTCGCGTAATCTAAGTTTACTCTCAAACAAACGCTCAGATCCTGACACCAGTACGTTTGCTTCTGCGCGCTTTGGTATAAAATTAAAGTAGAGAGGATGGGTGATTTTTTGAGATATAACACATATTTTTAGCATTAACCAGCGCCTAGAAAAAAATGATTAAAAAGTGATTAAAAAAATCGGTTTTTTTTGTTACTTTTCAATCTGAAATCATCGAGATCTGAAAGAGCTCTGAAATCGGTGATCTGAGGGTCAAGGGTTCGACTCCGGCCCGCGACAGTTTTCTTGAAAAAATCTTGGTAAAAAACGGGTTTTGCGTTTTCTAGGGTAATTTTCAATGCTGATTCCAAAAAGTGGTTTCAGCCTAGCTTTCATCCTAGGTTTGTACGAAAAAAAGAAAAAAACTACTTTTTGATTCTTTTTTATTCAAAATGCTACTAGTTTTTTCTAGGTGGTCCAAATTTTATGTGTTTGGTACCAAAATGCTCGTAGAGTATAGGTGCATAAAAGTAAGTTGAAGGATTTTTGTGTATGTCCGCCATCTGCGAGACTTGACCTTATAAATCAGGTCGGATGTGGGGGGGGGGCTACTATTACTACTTTACGGTAATTTCACATTACCTATAATATCCTTGATCTCCATTTTCGTTTTCTTCGTGTTTTCTTTGTTGTTTTAGGAAACATTCCACCAAATCAGCACTTTCCTATTTCACTCATTTATCATTATACGATTACTTTTGTAAACAAAAAATGGCATGTAACATGCCTGCTACTGACCGTTGAAAACTTCGAAAATTTTACCGCTTACTTCTATTTTGCTGAGAACTTTCTTTTGACTTCTTCTAATTGACTAATTTTTCGGAAATTTTGAACGCCAAGAACTCTCACACACATCATCATCATAATCCATAGTCTTCTTCCTGTGCTCGATTTGTTGACGAAAAAATGTGAACAAACGATCTCGAATGTAGAACATCCTCTCCTTCACTCCTGAACAAAAAGAAAATTTGGCTTTTATCAAATCGTTTTCACAAATCCGAGTTACCTAACGCTGAGTATATAGCAACCATTCAAAAAAGCTATACTGTAACTTAAAAGATCATCTATACAGTCCTTATCACATCATCTGGGCCATCTCCTAACTACCCGTAGTTTCTTAAACCCCGTTAATCTTGATGAAAAGTTTTGTTTTTTTATGATTTTGCATGTCAAACAACGTATAAAAACCGACGATTTTTTCTTAATTGCTGACGCAGCAATTTTAAACTCAAAACTCAAAAAGATAGGTAAATGACCGTATCAAATCATCTGAACCATTCGGCTTTTCCGTCTTTGTTGCTTTTTTACTTACCGTAAATACTGTAATAGAACGACATCCCCATAATGACGGGGTATTGCCGCGTAGTCTAACTTTGAAGGTCCCGTTCTCCGCGCTGCTTTATGCTACAGTGTGCGCTTGGGTGTCAAATGATAGCGCTTGAAATCGAGTATTTTTGGCACCAAAAGTGTAGTTGGGAAAAATCTAGGGGCTGAGAAAAAAATGATTCTCTGAAAAGAAGTTAGACTACGCGACTTTACGAGGCGGTACCGTTCAAATCTAAAAATCTATCTATGCAAAAAAAATTGCTACAAAAGTGAAATCTTCGCATCAAACGATTGCCAGATACCTTAAAAACCTCAATATGGAAAAAAGAACCGAACAAACTACCAGAAAAAGCTTTCTGATCAAGATATCAACGGTAAGTAAAAAAGCAACAAAGATCGAAAAAGTCTAATGGTTCAGATGATTTGATACGGTCATTTACCTATCTTTTTGAGTTTTGCTGCGTTGAGTTTTGAGTTTTGAGTTTAAAATTGCTTCGTCAGCATTTAAGAACAAATTGTCGGTTTTTATACGTTGTTTGACATGCAAAATCATAAAAAGAACGAAACTTTTCATCAAGATTAAAAGGGTTTAAGAAACTACGTAGTTAGGAGATTGCCCAGATGATATGATGCTGCATATGGAACCTTTTATATAGGGTAATCGGCCGGCCCAGGGGCTTGTCATCACCAATCCTCCACTGAAAGTGACGATCAATTTCATGTGTTCGTCCATCAAGCTCTTCAACTCACGGAACTCTCCTTGTTTTTCCTGAAAGGCACCCCGAAATATTACAATGTGTTAGTAAATTGTGAACCCATAAATTTTTGTTTCTTTATTCATCTAAAAATCACCTCATCGAATCGATAACCAAAAAGAATATTGTTGATAATCGACCCCACGGCCACATCAATTTCCCATTGAGGAGAGAGCTCTTTCTGAGCTTCGAGTCGAACCAAAAGAGCCGTCACCTCATTCATTATCTGTAGATTTTATTCCAAAGATCTTATTCCAAAGATTTTATTCCAAAGCCTTCAAATTTCACCTTTTCCTCCATCAAATTCTTTCCCATTCCAAAATCTCGAAGTGTGTGAAGGGTGAACCTTCTCATTTCTCTCCAACTGTCTCCAGATGACTCGATCACACCGTATAGATCGCCGCCTAGAAATCAATTTAATAACTTATGATTCGCAAAGGATGAATCCTTTGCAAAGGATGAGTATTCAGCAACGAAAAATAACGAAATTGCGTCACCTCGATATTCGGCAGTTAAAGCGGTAGTGAAACGATCCGTATATTTGTCGCCATCTTTGATTATTGTCTCTTTAATCAATTCATAATCGGCAATAATTACCGCCGGAAATGGACCTGCAAAATTAAAAAAAAAATTGTTCAAACCCTGGCCAACGGTGAGACCGATTTAGCTGAAATTTAGCTGAAAGTTTGACTGTTTTCCGTGTAAATGGCGGCTCTTTCTGGCGCTCACAAGAGCGAAGCATGCTTTGCAAAGCACGCAGCGAAACAAAAACAGTGTCATTGTTATTTTTGATCATTTTTTCTTTCCGCAAAGCCACCTAAGCTATTTGAATCCTTTCTGAAGAGCCATCAATTTGCAGCAGAAATTATTTGTGGGATTTTTCTTATAAAACGAATCATAAACTAAACGGTGGCCCACCCACATTACCGTATTTTCTGTAATAGTAGTGCAGGCAGGAGGGGTGCTGAAAAAATAGTAGTGCACTCTGCTAAAATTTGCTTTGTTGTTGTTCATTTTGGATTTTAAAAGCATACAGGTAGCTAAATGAGATTTTATTATGAGATTGTGACTAGTTCTTTAGTACTGACTAACAGATTGTGACTAACTTTTGACAGATCCTACCAGGATCAACCAGATAGCTGAACCTTTATAGCTTTGCTTAAAAAGCGCACCTTTTAGAAAACGCGTTGTCGGAAGTTTGTCGGATCAATTGTCTGACAAAAAAGTTGTCAATGAAAATTTGTCTGACAAATTGTCTGTCAACAAGGAGCACACTCTACCTGTTATGCCGCCTAGTAAAGACTTGAAAGAAAAAATGAAAACTCTAATAGTAGTGCGGGCTGGAGGGGGGGGGGGTGAAAAAATAGCACAAGAAATAGCTCTACTATTACAGAAAATACGGGAACTATTTGCGAAAAAAAAGTATTTGTTTTGTTTTATCTGATCTTAATCTGATTTTATCTGAGCTTAATCACCCACTTACCCAACCAATAGGTGTAAATAGAGCCGAATTGTTTTTTCCATTTGATAAAAGCCTCATATCCTGGGGGTTCACTCGTCAGAACACTCATCATATTTCCAACAAATGGATAGGGAATTGGGCCTGAAAAGAGTCTAATCTTTCTTCTTTTGAGTTTCCGTAATATTATGTGATAGTTTTAGAGAATTTGCATGCCATAAATACTGTAATTGAACGGTACTTCCTCGTAAAGTCGCGTAGTCTAACTTTTCAGAAAATCATTTTTTCTCAGCCCCTAGATTTTTGCCAACTACACTTTTGGTACCAAAAATACTCGATTTCAAGCGCTATCATTTGACACCCAAGCGCACACTGTAACATAAAGCAGCGCGGAGAACGGTACGTTCAAAGTTAGACTACGCGGCAATACCCCGTCATTATACCGTTCTCATACAGTATTTACGGTAGCTTTAATTCAAATTCAATTTAATTCAATTCTTCGGTGCAAGTTTTTTCCTGATTACCTGGTGGTAGGTTTCGTCGTTTCCAGTAAAACAAATGGAAAAAGTACACGGAAATGGCAAAAATCGACAGAAAAATGATCATTTCTTTAGCTAGAGTTGAAAATTGTCAAATAAAAAATATTACAATGAAAAATGAAAGAATGAATTACAATAAATGCTGCTTGGATTTTAAAAGGAAAGTGTTTATGAGCGAAGTGTTGGAAAAATCGGTCAACCTTTAAAATTCCTCTTCTATAAAAGAGAACTTTTATGTACAAAAAAGGCAAAAATGCCTTTTTTTATAGCTTTTGCTATCTTCAGCTCACAACTTAGAAGAGAAGATCTCTGGTCTTTTGCAAAAAAAATGAAACGGAAAAGAAAAATCGGGTGTTTGTTTCTCTTGAAAAGAGGGAAAGAACTGCTAACAGGAGAATTCTTCAGATTTTTTTCACAAAAAAACTAGCTATTCGAAAGTTTTGAAGCAAACGTTTGTAAAAATATTGTCAGTAGCTAGCAAGCTTAGCAAGCTAGCAAGAGAGGGCGAAGGCAAAAAAAGGAGCGAAGCAGTAACAGCACAAAAAGCTAGCAAAAACATTTATGATGAAATTCTGATGATGCAATTTCGAATGATGTAAATTATAATAATTCCATGGAATTCCATTACCAGCAATTTTCGAAAAAATTTAGATAAAGTAGTTGTAGTATTTACAACTACTTTAGAACCGTATAAAGTGGCTGAAGTTTTCCACGAATCTTTTTTGCAATGATTATTAGTTGTTCGGATATAAACGAGCGTTTGCACTGCTTAACTCGTGAGGAAGCCATTTCCCGTATCTGATCGCCTTTCCAATGGCGTGAAGTTGCTCATCAATGGTAGAAACATAGAAACTGTTGAGCAAGTTCACGCGTCGTTTGACATGGATCCGATTCGATTGCAGCCCTCGATTGAAGTTCGAAATACACAAGGCCCTTGTTATTCCACCATACTGCGAGCATGATCTTTTTCCCATGAATGTCCGGTTTCACGGTCGGATTTGGCCGTTCTCCTGGTCCTAGTCATTTCCGTTTTCGAATAGTATCATCGAAATGGATCCACTTCTCATCTCCAGTAACGAGAGAATCAAAAAAGCCATGATCTTTAGCGTGACGGATGAGGATTCCGGCAATACCCGTGAAGCCTTGTTTTTCCTTTTTCCGCAGCTGATCGTCTTTCCTTTCCAGATGCTCATCAATGATAGAATTTGAACATAGAAATTGTTGAGAAAGTTCATGCGTCGTTTGACATGGATCCAATTCGATTGCAGCCCTCAAAATATCGTTGTCTACCGTTTGAGGTCGACGAGAGTGTTCATCATCCTCGAGACTTTCATCATCATTCCGAAAGCGTTGGAACCAGGCTCGGCATCGGCTTTCGGACAAAGCATCATTCCTAAATGCTTTGACCAAAGCTCGATGGGACCTTGTTATTCCACCATACTGCGAGCATGATCTTTTTCCCATGAATGTCCGGTTTCACGGTCGGATTTGGCCGTTCTCCTGGTCCTAGTCATTTCCGTTTCGAACAATACATCATTGTACATCATTCCCAAATGCTTTACCCAAATTTCGATGGGATTCCGCGACTGTTTTGCTCAGTTTGAAGTCGTAAAGTAAGCAGACGCGAATTTGAAATTTTTGAAGTCATCTAAAGTCATCTAAAGCAAGAGAAAAGATCTTAAAAATTATCCGTTTAAGAAATTATCCGTTTAAAAAGATTCCAAATATGCACAAGATAACGTACTTTAAGATTAACGTACGCACAAGATAACGTACTTTCAGATTAACGTACGCACAAGATAGCGTACTTACAAGGACATGTTTTAAAAGCTTCCCTCACAACAATAAGGTTAGTAACGCTTGTTTATATCCGAACAACCTAATATTTTAAAAACTGAAAAATTTCGTGAATACTTATTTAGCTAGTTCATTAGTTTAGAAGCAATGTAATCAAAAAACGATGAAAATGAATTGGGACACAACTTAGAAGAAAAGATCTCTGGTCTTTTGCAAAAAAAATGAAATGGAAACGAAAAATCGGGTGTTTTCTTTTCTTGAAAAGAGGAAAAGAACTTACCGAGTACAAACATTGTGCCAAGCAAACAAGAAAACTGGAGAGCCACAGATTCTCGACCCTCTCAGCCCTTCTTAGTCTCTCGTATCTCCAAATACTGAAGGAGAAAACTAGGTAGTCAAAATTTTTGAAGGAAAAACTTTTAAGCATCCTCTTCTATTCGAATAATAGAAGCTCTTCTATTAGAATAATAGAAGAGCATGCTTAAAAGTCTTAAAATAAGTCGACAAATCGCTACGAGACGGAAAAATAGAAAAAATTCATGATTTTTCTCGCTTGATTGATGAGAAAATAATTGCAATGGAAATGATCGAGCAAGAAAATCAAGGGTTAAAATTTAAGGAAGTCTTTACAACAGAGTTCCCTCTTTTTTTCGAATATTCAATTAGAAAAATTACAATAAAATTACAATACAAACGGTACCAAAATCTAAAATTTTTGCTGCTTAAAATATTTTTCTGCGCAAAAGAATTTTTTAATAAATTCCTGTCTTTGAAGAATTACAAATTTTCGATTCAAATTTTGTTCATATTGGATTCACAGTTGGACAACCGATGAGTCCCACCCAGTGTCCCATTCACAGTTGGACAACCGATGAGTCCCACCCAGTGTCCCATTCACAGTTAGACAACCGATGAGTCCCACCCAGTGTCCCATTCACAGTTGGACAACCGATGAGTCCCACCCAGTGTCCCATTCACAGTTGGACAACCGATGAGTCCCGCCCAGTGTCCCATTCACAGTTAGACAACCGATGAGTCCCACCCAGTGTCCCATTCACAGTTGGACAACTGATGAGTCGTTTTTTCACTTTCAGTCAACCTTTTACAACTATATGTGCTCAATGAGCATGTCGCTACACTGTCACTGCTAAGCATTGCTCAGCGTTTTCAATTTTAGTTGGCGTTTCTTTGTGTGTGTTATTCTCTTATTTTCTTACAGTGATAGGGATAATATCAAATCGTTTTCTTTTCATTTCAAAAAAGATCTAAAAAAATTTATTTAGACAAATTGAAAGGCAATAAATATAAAAGATAAAATACCAATAATCTGTCAATTCAGAAAATGGAAACAATTGTAGAAGGCAACTAAAAGATACAATGAATCATCAAAGAGTGATCATTTTAATCGACCGAGACGTAGAAGGCCAAAAAGTACCAACAACCATCGTTCTCGGACACGCAGATGCAGTCCTTGGTTGAATCAATACGTCGACGGAACACGGAGCTGCCTGTCATGCAGAAACCACGAAAACCAGAAAAAGACCATTCCTCACAAAAAGACCTCGCAAGATCATTCGCCTGTTTGAGAAGTCGACGACGATTCTTTCCATCGATTCGTAGCATTCCTGGATATTGTGAAAGGTCACTCCTGAGGTAAGATTTATGTGAATGAATGAAGATAGCAGCCTCAGGGTTCTTGCTCGGGATTCCAGTGGTGACGATCTGTTGAGCAATTAAATCAATGCAGTCCAATGAAAATCTGCCATCCATAAAAAACCATTTGATTTGAGTCTTCAAAAAGGCGCTGTGGTAGAAGCGAAATAAATCTTTGAAGTAACAGCAAAACTTAATACTAATACTCTCGCAGTTCTTGAGTCCTGCCACAATGAAATTTTCGATGAGATCTTTGCTCACCTGATCATAGACCATTCGATCTACTATATCTCCATGATATTCTTCATTATAATCATCATCTTCTTCTTCATTGGGTATACGAAATAGGATATTCAGTTGTGCTCCTTCCTTGATCGATGCGTGGAAGTTTGAGAAGAATTTCTCGTAGGCTTCTTTTGAACTCCATCCCAGCCCCAAGTAATGACACGATCGAATCTTCTTGACGAAAGAAAAGTGAGAAAAGACATTGAGCTCCATTTTAATTGAATTCGAAAATTTCCTGATTTCCATCCTCTCATCGTAAAATCGAATCTCAGAGATGTGCTTTCCAAAAACGATCGACGGATCTCTCACGAGCATCCCTTGCAATTCTTGATTCACCATGGCCAACTCAAGCACATCCCATGACTCCATTGGTTCCAACACTTCCAACTTCAAATCGAAACACAATTTCTCCATTGGAAATGACGTCAAATTCTTCATTTCGAACCACATCACTGGCAAATCCTCCATTTTGACTTTTACCTGTAAATAAAAAGTGTAAATAAATAAATATGTTTTGACATAAAAAGGTGCTTTATTGATAGCAGAAATGTTAGGAAAACAGTGCTTTGGTTCTTGATTTGGCTTTGGATAGCCAGGCCGTGAAGACCCACAAAAGGTAAAGCTTGAAAAAAAGTCAATGAATCAAGAAATCGACAAAATCGACAAACAAGAAATCGCGCCTCTTTTGCCTCAACTTTAAACTCAATTATCTCGGTGTTGAGCCGTCGAATTTTAATCTTCTTTGTATCATTGGATTTGTCACGTCTTTGTCTATCGATTAGTAGAAAAACTATTGAAATTGGACTGCCCAAAGCGGAGATAATTGAGCGCAAATTTTGATTGGCAAAAGGGGCGGAGCTAGAAAGACCTTTTATACGCGCCCTGTATCATTAGATGCGGCAAGCCTTTCTCTATCGATTGGTATAAAAACTATAAAGAGGTGTCCTAATTTCATTATAAATAAAGAGGTGTCTTAATCTCATTATTCCATCAGCGGAAATGTTAAGCAAATAGTGATTTGGCTTTGGATAGCCAGGCCGTGAAGACCCACAAAAGTTAAAGCTTGAAAAAAGTCAATGAATCAAGAAATCGACAACTGCTTCAAACAGTAACTTCATCATCGAACAATATTTTATAAATTTATTCGAAGAAACAACAATAACAAGAAAAGCCAGCAAAACACAACAAAAAGCAACAACATTCTAATCGGTTCTTCAACTCTTCGAAGAACTGAACAAACTCCGGGCGAGTAGCCGATATCTTCTGTTGGTGTTTGCCATTGTGGCGGTAGGGTTGACGGTTGCATTGGAGGGGGCTGAAATTTAGAGTACA